AAAAAAAAAAAAAAAAAAAAACATTTAAAAAAATTATTATTTTTGAGAGAGAGAAGGGAGACAGAGTGTGAGCAGGGGAGGGGCAGAGAGAGAAAGACACAAAATCCGGAGCAGGCTCCAGCTCCAAGCTGTCAGCACAGAGCCCGACATGGGGCTCATGAACTGTGAGATTATGACCTGAGCCAAATTCGGACACTTAACTCACTGAGCCATCCAGGCACCCGTAAAAAAATTTTTAATAAAAAAAAATGGATGCTGCCACACCCCACCAACACCCACCAACCTAAAGAGGAGTTAAAATTCTTATCACTAGAGAATGGATGAGTCTGGCAAGGAAGTAAATTTGGGAATATACAAAATATCTGGGAATATACAAGATTTCATGCTTCTTGAGAGGTTCAGGATAGCTGGACTGAAGTGAGGGAATGGCTAATTTCTGTTTTGTAGGAAATGTATTATTTTCAGTCCAGAAAACAGTAGACCAGTCCCTAGTTTGTATGTGGAATATACCTTGTGTTTCTCTAAAAACTAACAACGACACAAAAAGACATAAATCTAGGTATTTTGTTTAGTTACCTGTTGTCTTCGTTTTTCCTCTTCAAGAGCAGCTTTGGCTTCTGCTTCTTTTATCTGTTTTATAGACATTTAAAAGTATATTACCATCATAACCATCAAATTTTATTCAGAATTTTAACATCTTCCCACCCAGGATCCACTAACCCAGAATGACTTCTAGGAACTTTATATTGGAAGTTACTTAACAACATGTAAAGGTTATACTGAGAAGTGTTACCAAGGTTCTGTCTAACCGACTGGAAGGGGAGGGGAGGGATAGTGTTACACAGTATATAAACATTTCAGTTTAACAATTATAATAGATATTAGACCACAATTCAAAGAGTCACAAAACTGCAAAATGAAATATTTTTAAAGCTGATTTTTTTCTCTTGAGTTATCATACTAAGTCTATAATAAATTATTCAATACCACTCTTTTTCTAGAGTTGAAATTGACCATTTTCTGCAAATGTTCTATCTGGAAGGGAATCCTTAGTATCAAACAAAATCAAGAGTTTATTCATTGAATGCATTAATGGAGGCAAATGATGACACTAGAGGTAACCCAAACAGCAAAGAATTCCAAAACCTTATTTTGTATTATTTTAACCTAGCTTTCAGGAGGCTTAGACTAACATTAAAATGAAAAACTATGTCCCATTCCAGAGCATTATACACTAACTGGTATGGAAAAATCTAGTACACACTGAAGAATACACCTGGGGATCGAAAATAGGCCTACAAAACTAGGCTTATTACAAAAGCAAAAAGAGAGGAGATTTGCTTGTAATAAGCACATAAAGTAATCCACAAAATATGAAAAGGCTATTAATTAGCAAATTAGAATTGACATTTAATGCAACATTACCTCAGATGCTTTCCGTTTCATTTCCTTGCATGTTGTGTCGCATTCTATTGAAATCTGATTTTCACGTACTTTGTTACACTGTAGTTCCTACAAATAATATTTTTAAAAATTTGATTTTAAAAGCTTTTTTCCTCAAAGTCCTAACTGTATGCCACAAAAAAGCAAAATTTCTCTAACAGCTTAAGGTTATGCATATTAAGAGTCACTTCATGAATATTTAATGATGATATGGTTACAAGCATTAAATGTCTTAATTCAAAGAGGGATCATTCTTTTATTGTCTCATAATTGAAAAAAAGCAAATAACATAAAATTCAAAGCATCCATTTAATAATTATTTACTAGAGCCACTATGAACTTAGCTTTAATTTCATTTTTATTCTTTATTTTTATTGTTTGTTATATTTCTAAGGCTTCCAGGGAATAAAATGTTCTAGAGTAGTGGCATCCAACACAGCTTTCTGAGATCATGAAAACGTTCTAAATCTGCACTACCCAACAGAGTAACACTAACTACATATGGCTACTGAAACTCAAAATGTGTCTAGTGAAACTGAAGAACTGAAGGTTTACTATTATTTAATGTTAATTCGTTAAAATTCAAATTTTAAATACCCATATGTGCCAACAGGTATACGCAAATGGGCTCAATATCATTAATCACCAGGAAAATGCAAATCTAAACCACAATGATATAATCAACTCACAACTGTTAGAATAACTATAATTAATACGCCAATAAATAACAAGTCATGGCAAGAATACAGAAAAGAAAAAGAAAGAAACCTTGCGCTGTGTTGGCAGGAATGTAAATTGGTATAGCCAGTATGAAAAACAGTGTGGAAGCTTCTTTAAAAACTTAAAAGAGATGTAGTATAGGTTTTAGCAGTCTTACTTCTGGCTATACAGGGAATGAAAATAGTATCTAAGAGATATCTGTGCTCCAATATTCACTGCCATCATTATTCACAATAGCCAAAATATGGTAACAAGACATGTGTCCATCAATGGATAAGTGAATGAAAAAAAATGTGATCTGCCTACCTACCTATAATGCAGTATTATTCAGCCATAAAAAAGAAGGAAATCCTGTTATTTAGAGAACATGGATGAACATGGAGACAATCATGCTAAGTAAAATAAGTCAGATACAGACAAATATTATATGATCTTACTTACATGTGGAATCTAAAAAATTAAAGCTGAGAAGAACTTAGAAAAGCTGAGAAGAGAATGGAAATTTCTAGGAGCTATGGACTAGGTAGAATATGAAGAAATTGGTCACTGGCTACAAATTTTCAGTGATAAGTTGAATAAGTTCTAAGGAACCTAATACACCACATGCTGGCTATAGTTACTGATACTGTATTATATATTTTAAATATGCTCTGTAAATATTCTCGCCACAAAGAAACAGTAACTGTGAGGTAAATGTTAATTAGCTTCATTGCTGTAATCATTTCACAGTGTATATGTGTGGACAATCATCATGTGTGCACTTTAAATACGTATAATTTTTGTCAACTGTGCATCAGTAAAGCTAAAAAATATTCAAATAAATAAACAGCCATATGTGGCCAATGGCTACCAACTCATTCAATTCTAGAGAATTTTCTGGAGAGCTACAAATTTCCCTCTCAACCACTTAATCTTTTTTAAAAAAGTTTTAAAATTTTGGTGAGGCGCTTGGGTGGCTCACTTGGTTAAGTGTCCGACTCTTGGTTTCGGCTCAGGTCATGAGCTCACAGTTTTGTGAGTTCAAGCCCCATGTCTGGCTCTGCACTGGCAGCACAGAGCCTGCTTGGGATTCTCTCTTTCCCTCTCTCTGCCCCTCCCCTGTGTGTGCTCTCTCATGTTCTCTCTCTCTCTCTCTCTCTCTCTCTCTCTCTCAAAATAAATAAAAGTTAAAAGAAAAAAAAAGGTACTTACAGAGTACCTATTACATGCCAAGCACTGTATGAGGGACAGGGACACAATAAGGAAAAGAATGGAATAATATGACAAGTGGTTAACTAATAATAACAGCAGCTATTTATTAAACATAGCAATCACTGTACTAAATGCTACATAAGCATTACCTCTTTTATTCTTTTCAATAAATCTAAGTATAAATTCTCTTTTATGGATGAGAAAACAAGGTTGCAGACGTCCCTAGGATCATCAAGCTCTTAGTCATGAACCTAGGATAAAGGAAACCAAGGGAAAACAGCATCTAAGTCTTCCTAAGGGAGTCAGGACAAGGAAGAGCTTCCCAAACAAGGAAATGCTTGCATTGAATACTAGAGGCAGGATTCTAGTGGACGGAATGGTAAAGGGAAAAAACTTTGCATTTTACACAAAAGGAAGAATGTATACATCGCCACAGATTAAAGCGTAAGGTAGCATATATGTTAGGACACCTAAGTAACAGATTCACAGAGATGGCTGCTAGAGGATGAGACTGGAGATAAGCAGGCAAACATTCACCATCACAGATTCACTTGAATGCCAAGTCAGTATGTACATAGATGTTTCTTCTAAATGTATATTCTTTTCCCATAGTGATGAAGAACCACTGAAGAACTTAGATTAAGGAAGTACTAGACTTGGAGGCAGGGAAATCTGCTATGAAGCTGTTATCAGAGTCCAAGAATGAGCTGTTGCCAAAGTTCTTCTAGTGGGTGGCGAACTGTATTTGGACAGTAACAGGACATGAGAGAGACATCGCAGATGAAAAGTAACTTGACTAAGCATTGATTTTCACATAAAGCGGTCCAATTTAAATATCTAAAACTTAGGGATTCAACTTCAGAAGAGGTCAGGCTTCTAAATTTAAATTCAGAAGCTACCTATCCCAGGAAGTGATGGTAGGAACTGTGAAAAAAAGTAAAAAGCAAATATCCTCAATAAAAGCAGAAGATTCTCAATAAATATTTGTTGAATGAATTTAAAGAAAAGAAAAAGACTAACTTTAGGGGATGACCATAAGAATATGAAGGAAAAAAGGAGTTACAACTGTAACCGAGATAGCAAAAATCAGAGGTCAACAGCGTGAATAGGCAAGTCAAGGAAAAGGAGGCTGAAAACAAGACCACCCAGCTGCTGACACTGGAGAACAGTGAGACTCTTCTGTGTAAGCTTAGTTTAGCTGAATGGTGTATAGTTTGCTTCCACTGAGCTTTCCAGTTCTTAGTTTTGCCCTTTCAGGGGCTCCTGGGTGGCTCAGTGGGTTAAGCGTCCGACTTCGGCTCAGATTATGATCTTGTGGTCTGTGAATCTGAGCCCCACATTGGGCTCTGTGCTGATAGCTCAGAGCCTGGAGCCCGCTTTGGATTCTGTGTCTCCCTCTCTCTCTGCCCCTCCCCGCTCAGACTCTGTCTCTCTCGCGCTCTTTCAAAAATAAACAAACATTACAAAAAAAAAAAAAAGTTTTGCCCTTTTACTCCTCCATTACCACTATTTTATCTTAAAATGAATTCTCTCCCAGTTTGTTATAAGGCTGTGCATGTGAAGTCTTTTTAAGGCTGTGTTTTCACAACATGATACTGATGGCAAAAACTATTTCATAATTAAGAGCAACAAAGGTTAAATTCCAGACCATTTCTTAAACCATGAAACTCACTCTATTACTCATTCCATGTTCCTTGTACAAAGACCTCAAATCTAGAGCATATTAAATTTTTTTTAATCTTTATTTTTGAGAGAGAGAGAGACAAAGACAGAGACAGAACATGAGTGGGGGAGGGGCAGAGAGCGAGGGAGACACAGAATCTGAAGCAGGCTCCAGGCTCTGAGCTGTCAGCACAGAGCCCAACGCAGGGCTTGAACTCACAAACTGCAAGATTATGACCTGAGCTGAAGTCGGACGCTTAACCAACTGAGCCACCCAGGTACCCCTCAAATCTAGAGCATATTGATTCTACCCAAAAAGAGGGCACTGAACTTAGTTCCAACATAAAACAAAGTTCTTTTATGAGTAAATTACAGAAAACTAAATTGCCAAACAAAGCTGATTTTAAAAATAAGTACCTACAGAAATAGGCTAACAATAAAGATTCTAAAAGATAAGACCTTAAAATTAAAAGGCAAAAAGTAAAGCCACAAACTACCAAAACAGAGACAAAAAAAATTTTTTTTACACAGAAAAGTATATTCAATAACTTAAAATACTTACCTTTTTTATTCTTTTACAAGGGCATCTAAGTTTTACCTTCTGGTTGCAATTAAAGGGACATTCACCAGGATGACACATTTCTTTGCATCTGTGACCACAAGGAAGCTAAAATAAAACGAAAATAAAGCAATTGCATATTTATAGTCTAGTCATACTCTACAAACTCCCCTTCCTCCAACAGCTATTTTAAGAGAGTCTATCACAGCAGGGTCGGTCAATCAACCCTGGATAATGATCTAATTTTCCAACTTTTTCTTTTAGATATAAATTACTTTACACATAAATGTTAAATATTCTCCCCAGTTCCACTCCAAGAGTGTATCTTACATCAGGGTTGCGGCTAGTTATAGCCATGTGACTATGTTCAGGTCAATGAAATGTAAGCAAAAGTGCTTTTGTGCCTTCAAGCTTTTCAGGAGCATACACCCATGTTCTTCCCTTCCCAATGTGCTGTAAATGATGACATTTAGAGCACGAATGGAAACCATGTGTCAAGATGAAGCAGAGCTGCCTGACTTATTTGGGTTCCTGGATGAATACATGGAGCACAGTGATAACACATCTACCTTCCCTATATGGTTATATAAGAAAGAAAGAAAACTTTGTCCTTAAGGCTCTGTGTTGTAATACAACTGCTTAGCCTTTTACTCTAAATCATTTCTCTTTGCCACTATGTATTAAAACATATTATATAGGTAGCCAAACCAACTAAGCAATTGCCATGATGTCTACATGGCTCCTTGTCTTTAGTTATTTACTATCTTCTTATCACAGTCAAGCTTTCAGATGAAACATTGTGATCTTCTTTGTATTCAAATCTTATCCAGACTTCAATAAATGGCTTAGATCACCATAGTAACATGATAGAAATTTGCCTATATTTGAACAAATAATAGTAATTATGTAAGAAATCTACTTTTAAACTATTGTGACACTGTTTGTGTGGTCTTCAAAAAAATTACGGGCGCCTGGGTAGCTCAGTCTGTTGAGCATCTGACTTCAGCTCAGGTCATGATCTCATGGTTCATGGGTTCAAGTCCCATGATGGGCTCTGTGCTGACAGCTCAGAGCCTAGAGCCTGCTTCAAAGTCTGTGTCTCCCTCTCTATCTGCCCCTCCCCCGCTTGTGCTCTGTCTCTCTCAAAAATGAATAAAAACATTAAAAATTTTAAAAAATTTAGACACTTCATAGATTCCTGTCTCTCCAACCAGACTGTGAATAAAAGACACCTTTGGTTAGTGGTTAAATTCCAAAGTCAAGCTGCCTGGAACTGAATTTCAGCTTCCCTATTTACCAACTGTGAAATCTTGGGCAAACCTCCTGACTTTTCTGTGCCTCACATATAAAACTGGGAAGGGAAACAGAACTTTGTAAGGCTGTCGTGAGGATTAAATGTTCTCGATATATTTAGCTATTATAATAATAGGTATTATAATGAGGGCAATGGTCTTCTATTTCTTTGTGTCTCTTATATTCATTAACAAATACACCTTAACAAACATTGAATTCTCCAACTTCTGATCTTTATATTTCACCAGATTGATTCTTCAAACTATTATCTCTACTGACTTTAAAACATTCAGAAGTCTTTTCCATTGCCTTCAGTCTCTCTCTGGTGTGCAACTAAATTTCTTGTTTTTTCATTTTTAGCTGAGACGTTCGCACCAAAACTAAATGTGGATCACTCAGACTACATTTTCATCGGTCCCACCATAGGGCTGCGCTGCTGGAATGAGTTCCACACCAACATTCCTGGACCACTTGGGTTTTGTTTTTCTTTCTACCTAACTACAGGCCTTGAACACTGCTTACTGAGCTCAAAAGTTCATAGTTTTGAACTATCAAATATCTGCCTCACAGGGTGGTTTAAAGTCTTTGTCCTCCTCAACTTCTTCCTCACTTCCATTCCTGCCAGTGCCTCTAGCCTGACTTCATGAAGAAGACAAACATTTGGCATCAACTTACCACCCATCCTCTCTTCTTCTCCAAACAGGTCTCTGTAGCCTCTTGCTCTTTCCTTCATCGAGGTAATGATATCGGTCATTCTCTCTAAAAGTAACTAACCACTCTACTTCAACTTTAAATCAATTAACTCTAATGGGGAAAGTGAATAGGGAAGCTTTTCAGAATCAATATAGACTTTCTGAAGTTACTCAGAATTGTGACTATAGTATTCTATATTTTCAACGTGTTGGGGTTTGATGAAAAGCTAAAAACCGGATGTCGTATCTTTCTGGATGTCCTATCTTTCTGCCTTAGTCCTAAAAGACCCCATGGTCACTCTCCACAATTTCACTACCATCTTAAAAGTCTCTTTTCTCTGGCTGGGTCTTCTACCTTTAAAATGTACCTCTTTTCTCTAAATACTGTATTGATCCTGTTACCCCCATCTCACAATTCTTCCATGAATCTCCCTGCCTTTCACCTTCTCTGCTGGTAGAGGAAACAGAAGACATAAATTGGGATGGCTGCCTGGTTTCCCACAGTTCTCCCAGGAGCCATGGCCATGACTGCACCACCCATTCCAGTTCCCTGTCTGTTGCTGCCTGTGCCAAGGGAGCCCCCGTACCTAAGGGGACCAATCAGATTTTCTCTCCTGATAACTGAAAACTAAAAAGAAAGCGATGGTGGTTTGAATAGTCATCTCACTACAGAGCCCTCAAGCCCCTGCTGGCAAGCCCCTGGGGGCTGCCCAGGTCCTGCCCTTCCCAAAGTTTGCTGTAACAGCATTTCCTTCAAAATCTATGAACTGGCCTCCAATATCCTCCAAATATGTCTTTTTTTGTGTGTGATAAGTTAACCAAACTGATTTCTATAGCTTGCAAGGAGAACTGAAACTCATCCAGAAGTCTGCTGTGCTGGTATCCAACATATGCCCCACAGACAAAAGTAATGTCATTAATCCTGAAAAAGTATTAAAAACCACTAGTAATCAGGAAAATGTAATTTAAAATCACCAGATGCCATAGAATTGGCAAAACTTAAAAATTATGACAATACCAAGTGTGGTGGTAACTGGAAATTAAAATACTGGAACTTTAAAATACTGGTAGTAAACAGGAAAATTTACTGATAGTAAATTGTACAACTATTTTGGAAATCAATATGACTTTAAGTTGAAATTATACATCCCCTATGAATAAGCAATGGCACATAGAGAAACCTATATCCACATATATTAGAATGTACAAACAAGAATGTTCATAGCAGTATTTTTAGCAACTCAAATATCAACCCACAGTAAAGAAAACACAGTGAACTATAGTCTACTCATATAATGGAATAAAGACTGTGGCAACATGTAATAAACGTGACAAACATAACATAAAGCACAGTAAGTAGGTCACATAAGTTCATACTTTTGAACTTTTAATATAAAATTAGGCAAGCAATATTGTTTCCAGATGAAAGCTATAAACAAAAGCAAGTAAATTACTATAAAAGGGAGATGGAGATAACATATAGGATAGAAAGAGGAAACCACAGTCAGACAGGGACTTTGGTAGACTTCTGAGATGCAGTCTAATTTTTAACCTGGGTGGAGTTACACGGTCTTGACTTTTTAACCATTTGTTAAACTGTCCATATGTATTACGTATTTCTGACTAGGTAATAATTTCATTGTTTAAAAAAATCAGATGTACAAGTATGTGTTATCTTAAAAGTCAGCTTATATTCTAAAAGAGCTGAAAAGCAGTTTCAAAGGAAGTTGATTAAAATGCATAATATATAAAGACTGTATCTTCATTACAGACTTCACACCAAAATACTGAGGTTTTTCTAAAACATCTAACCTTCACATTCATTTAAAGCAGAGATAGCCTACTCTACTCAATGTGGAATGGTTTTCTTCTACTCAGTCCCTAACATCATTCTGCTAACATTTGCATGTCATATCCAACACCTCATCAATAACCAATACTGTCTACTTCAAAATGTTCCATTTTAATCACAACAATTAAAAAAGCTCTTTAAAAATAATTAAGGAAAGCTTGCAAAACAATGTTTGTGGATAAATACCCACATATATCATCATCACTACAGCAAGCACATATAAAGCACTTACTATATACTATGACATTTACATGTTATTAACTCATTAATACTCAGCGCTCAGAAGTGAGTATTATTTCTCCCATTGTATACATGAACAATTTGAGTTACAGAGACATTAAATAATTTTCCCAAGCAAAAAGTAAAAAAGCTTGCATGGGGATGATAAAACCGAATTCAGAAATATGTTTTAAAAGCAGAATTGTGTATGTGGGGCAGTTTAAAGGTGTAGTTAGTTCTTCATGGTATCTTTATATCTTCTTTTAGTTAAATTCAAACCAGTCCAGAAGACATAGAGTGTGTATATCTAGAAGGATATGCCTATATCACTCCCACGGTTCAGTTTAATTCACATTCAACAAACATTTACCAACTGCCTAATACATACAAACAGGGAACAAAGGACTGGATGCAAGGACAAATATGACATAGTCCCTGCCCCCAAGAAATCCATAGTATGGGGAGGGGAAGAGAAAGTGAACAGGAATCTATCAGTACATCAGAATTTACCATCATCTTATACCTTAACTCTGAGTACAGGATATCTGCTGCAGATGCAAAGTGACACAGTTCTTGGTTGATCCCAAGTATGACTTGATTCTATGGCTTAGTGAGTCTCAAAACTGTGGTGCCAGACCAACAATATCACTATTATATATAAGCTTATTAGAAATGCAAATTCTTGGACCCCCAAAACCAGAAACTCTGGGGCAGGGCCCATTAATCCATTTCAAGAAGCTCTTAAACTGACTGTTTGAGAAGTATTGCTGTAGCCTTACCAATGTTGAGAGGCCATAAACTAGAGTAAGTTCTATTAGACACCTGTCCGCTCCTAGACTGTTTCAAACTATAACAGCCACCTGGATTGTTCCCAAACTAAGGCTATATTTTTCAAGAGAGCCCAAGGAGACTCTGGAAATACTCGGGGCTCCAGAATGATCTAGAATCCAAATAATCATGAGCATGGAAAACAAATTTTTAAACAGTGACCATCCATCTAGCCCCACCAAATGTCATAACAGTATCACAAACGAATCACAGCCAAGGAAATGTTAAACTGCAAATTAGCAATCCCTAAATTTAATTTTGTTATTTCTAACTACAATCTCATACCAAGTTACTGAGTCAGATTAAAAATAAAACATTCTCAACCACTTATTACCTGGAATCTGAATTTGGGCAGAAGAAAATTTATTTTAAAAAGGAAAAACTCAGGATTTGAAGAATTCAGAAAATTAAATTTGAAGTATCCCAATGCCCCCCTTAGTTTTGCGTGTATGACAAAGACAGGTTATTAAAATAATCATTTATTGCTTGAAATGTCTGTTTATAATCTCACATAACTTTTAAAATACACAGGTTCAACTTCCAATAGTTCTTAAACAGAAATCCATAAAAAGCATCCAGTTTTAGTTAAAAGAAAATATTGCTAACAAAAAGGCATATCAGGCATTAATTTCTTTTTATTTAATTAAAGAGAATGACTTCTATACTTGTCATTAAGGCTTTGTCGTCATCTCTCCCTGACTATAAAGAGGACGAGAAACAGGTAAATACATAAAGACAGAATTAAAATAAAAGTGGTACAATGAGTATATCTGTAAGTCAAAGGAACTCCTTTATAAATGTCCAACCAAATCAAGTAACTATTACTGCCCTACCTCCAACAACAAAAAAGGGAATACTCTGACTTTTAAGTTAACCAACTATAGACAGACCACTTTGGTTTCTCAAATTATCACCAAGAAAAATCACTGGTGACTTTTAACCTTTACACTCTGAATAATTTTTCTGAACTATTTTTAATACTTTCAGTTTGGGTACAATGCACATACAAGAATCAGAATATTTAAAAATAAAACTTTAACAGAAGTACTTTGTATGAATTAATTCAAAATAATAATGAACTTTAAAGTTCATACATACGCGCGTGCACACGCGCGCACACACACACACACAAATCTGCTTCTTAAATAACCTACTATGGATTTACTGTCTCACAGCCTATGACTCACACAGTTCTTCACTTATTTAATATTTTAAGGAGGGGCAAAGCATTAGGTCAATACTCTATCGTATAAAGTATATAAGCTGTCTTTAAAACTGCTCTTAGAAAAAAATCTTCGAAGGGTCAGTCTTAGTCCTAATAGCCCCAAAATTTCATAAAGAGATGTGCATCCACAGTTAGTAGGTATTACATTTTTACAGACCTCAATCACATCTTCCTTTCTGGACCCACATGTCTAGCAGGTTCAGAAAAGACCTGAAATAAGACCAAACGAGAAAAGAGAAAATCCAAGAGAAACAAGGCCATAGAAATACAACCTAAAAGTTTCTATTAAAGCTTACCTCTTTAGGACACTGATTTTTGCAACAACTAAGGAGATTCTTTTCATCTATATCAGCAGTGGTTATTTTTCTAAAAATAAAAGAGGAAATTTTGATGCCATTCAAACCAAAGTCCATTTTATAACATAATTTCTCTAAAAGTAATTCACAATTTCAAACATATCCATAAAATTACCCTACTTCATTTTTTTCTTGAAAACTATTTTGTGTACCATCTGTAATAATTATCTCAAATTACTTACCTGATCTGATAACTGAAAACTTCCAGCGCTTTATCTATTACCAATAAATCAAATGCCAAAAAGTCAATCACTACAAAAAGGGAGTATAAAACACATACAAAGTATGATCTCTTTAATAGTTCCTGCTATTATCTTTCCCTGTTGATAGATCAACCATTATATTATCATATAATTATCATTTTCCTAATACTTCTATGAACAGTTAAAAACTGATGGCTCAATATATTACTTTAAAATTGATCCTGAGAAAATGTTCACCCAGATTTCTTTTTTTTAAGTTTTTATTTAAATTCCAATTAGTTAACATAAATTGTAATTTAGTTTCAAGTTTCAATACAGTAATTCAATACCTCCATACAATACCCAGAGCTCTCATCACAACAAGTGCACCCCTTAACCCCCATCACCTATTTAACCCATTCCCCCATCCACGTCCCCTCTAGCAACCATCAGTTTGTTCTCTGTAGTTGAGTCTGTTTCTTGATTTGCCTCCCTTTCTCTCTTTTCCCCCCCACTTTACTTGTTTTTTCTTAAAGAGAAAAAAAAAAAAAAACCTACTTCAAATTGAAGAATTTAGTAAGCTTGTTTTAGGAAATCTTTTTAAGTTGTTTTGGTAACTTATTTATTAATATTAGAAATTGATTCATTTTAGATTCAATCATTTTAGAGCAGTCTCTGTGCTTTTATGTTTGACTTGGTGGGTAATTCAGGAAAAGTCATAAGCACCAGGGAATAAAACTACTTTCTAATCTAGTTGAATACAACCACAACAGACATCGCATGAGTCAGTTAACTAGTGACACTCTTAAAATCCCTACCATATGAATCTTATTTTCTCTTCCCATTACCTTTCTTCTTCTTTTTATTGTTTCTTTCTTTTCCTTCTTTTCCTATTTCCTTTTAGTATACATAATTGCCAAAATATACCATAAATTTAGCCTAATGTCAAAACTATTATCTTAAATATGTGTTATCAAATTAGTATAAATGTAGTCTAAGGTAACATATGCAATTTTCTTAGCAAAAATTCACTTAATAATATCACTTAATATATTATTTCTGGCTCTCCCAGAAGTTGTATGTTTTCATTCTTACAAGTATGGTGCTCACCTCTGAACTTAAGAATTAATATCATTTTGTTCCTGTCATTTTACAATTAGTAATAAATTTTTCATCTCTCTCTCAAAAATAAATACACATTTAAAAAAAAAATTTTTTAAAGCTGCTTCGGATTCTGTGTCTCCCTCTCTCTGTCCACTTGCACTATCTCACTCTCTCAAAAATAAATAAACATTAAAAAAAAAAAAAAACAGAGGGTGGGCGCCGGGGTGGCGCAGTCGGTTAAGCGTCCGACTTCAGCCAGGTCACGATCTCGCGGTCCGTGAGTTCGAGCCGCGTGTCAGGCTCTGGGCTGATGGCTCAGAGCCTGGAGCCTGTTTCCGATTCTGTGTCTCCCTCTCTCTCTGCCCTCCCCCGTTCATGCTCTGTCTCTCTCTGTCCCAAAAATAAATAAACGTTGAAAAAATTAAAAAAAAAAAAAAAAACAAAAACAAAAAAAACAAAAAAAAACAGAGGGAGGTGCCTGGGTGGCTCAGTTGGTTAAGTGGCTGACTTCGGCTCAGGTCATGATCTCACATCTCTTGGGTTCAAACCCTGCATAGGGCTCCGTGTTGACAGCTCAGAGCCTGAAGCCTGCTTTGGATTCTGTGTCTCCCTCTCTCCATCCCTCCCCCACTCGCACTGTCTCTCTTTCTCTCTCTCAAAAATAAACAAACATTAAAAAAATTTATAATTAGTAATAAACTAATTTTTCAACACCTGTCAATCTTTTATCTTTTGAATTCTAACAGGTATGTAGTTGTATCTCATTGTGATTTTAAGTTTTTATTTAAATTCCAATTGGTGTAAGGAAATGCAACAGATTTCTGTACATTGATTTTTGTATCCTATAACTTTACTGAATTTGTGTATCAGTTCTAGCAGTTTTTTTTTGGTGGACTCTTTCAGGTTTTCTATATATAGGTATCATGCCATAGTGAAAGTTTTACTTCTTCCTTGCTGGTTTGAATGACTTTTATTTCTTTTTCTTGTCTGATTGTGTGGCTAGGACTTCCATTACTATGTTAAATAACAGTGGTGAGAGTGGACATCCCTGTCTTGTTCCTGACCATAAAGGAAAAGCTCTCTTTTCCCCCTTGAGGATGATATTAGCTATGGGGTTGTTATATATAGCCTTTGTCATTTTGAGGTGTGTTCCCTCTAAATCTGCTTTGTTGGGGTTTTTATCATAAACAGATATTATACTTTGTAAAATGCTTTTTCTGTATCTATTGAAAGGATCATATGGTTCATATCCTTTCTTTTATTAATGTGGTGTATCACGTTGATTGATTTGTGAATACTGAACCACACCTGCAACTCAGGAATAAATCCCACTTGATGGTGGTGAATAACTTTTTTAATACATTGTTGGATTTCATTTGCTAGTATTTTATTGAGAATTTCTGCATCTATGTTCATCAGGGATATTGGCCTGTAGTTCTTTCTTAGTGGTAGCTTGTTTTGGTACCAAGGTAATGCTAGCCCCATAGAATGAAATTGGAAGTTTTCCTTCCTTTTCTATTTTTTTTTTTAATTATTTGAGAACAGTTATTAACTCTTCTCTAAATGTTTGGTAGAATCTGGTCATGGACTTTTGTTTGTTGGGAGTTGGACTACTGATTCAATTTCTTTGCTGGTTACCAGTGTGTTCAAGTTTTTTATTTCTTCCTGTTTCAGTTTTGGTCATTTACATGTTTCTAGGAATTTACCCATTTCTTCTAGGTTGTCAAATTTGTTGGCATACAGGGGCACCTGGATGGCTCAGTTGGTTAAGCATCTGGCTCTTGGTTTTAGCTCAGGTCATGATCTCACAGTTCATGAGTTTGAGCCCTGCACTGGGCTTCACAATGACAGTGTGGAGCCTGCTTGGAGTTTTCTCTCCATCTCTCTCTGCCCCTTCCCCTCCCCCCACTTCAAAATAAATAAACTTTAAAAAATTTGTTGGCATACAATTTTTCATAACTTTCTCTTATAATTTTTTGTATTCCTGTGGTGTTGGTTGCTATTTATCTTCTCATTTGTGATTTTATTTATTGGAGTCCTTTGTCTTTTCTTTTTGATAAGTCTGGCTTGAGGTTTATCACATTTTATTAATTTTTTTTTCAAAGGATCAGTTCCTGGTTTCACTGATCTGTTCTATTTTTCTAGTTTCTATAACATTTATTTCTGCTCTAATTTTTATTACTTCCTTCCTTCTGCTGGCTTTGGGTTTTGTTTGATATTCATTTTCTAGCTCCTTTAATATAAGATTAGGTTGTTTGATATTTTTCTTGCTTCCTGAGGTAGGCCTATGTTGCTATATACTTCTTACAACCGCTTTTGCTGCATCCCAAAGGTTTTGGACCACTGTGTTCTCATTTTCATTTATTTCCATGTAATTTTTTATTTCTTCTCTGATTTCCTGGTTGATCTGTTCAATGTTTAGTAGCATGTTGTTTAACCTCCATATATTTGTGGTCTTTCCAATTTTTTTCTTGTAGTTGGACTTCTAGTTTCATAGTGTTGTAGTCAGAAAAAGTACATGGTGAGGCTTTAATCTTTTGGCATTTGTTGAGGCCTCTTTTGTGAACTACTGTGTGATCTATTCTGGAGAATGTTCCATGTACACTTGAAAAGACTGTATATTCTGCTGAAAATCATACACTTTAAATATACATTCAAGGAAAGGGAAAAGGAACTCCAGATAACTGTAGTAATTAATGGAAGCCAACTCAATCCAAATATATCTATCTACATATCCTCCCCCCCAAATCATTCAGCTCATTAATAATAAAATCACTCAAATCCCATGACCTGCATATAACCAGAAGATACAAATTTCTACAAATTTCAAATTACAGGCAAGTAGAAAAATAAATACCAATTCATAGCGAAGCTATTTCTCAAGCTCCCACAGCAAATCATTTCAGAGAACTAGTAGGGTTCTGGAAAAACTGAGCAGAAAAGAGAAGAGGGCAACTGAGCTAACATCACACCAGAAAGAGAAAGTCCACCCTAAATTTGACAAAGTACTGGTAGATACGAACACTAACTAAAAGGAAGAAACTTTAAAAAGTGCACAAGAATCAAGGAGTCAATCTTGGAAAGGCAACCACTCTGGACAAGAAGGTAAAAAGACAAAGTCACACTTTGGAGACTACATGACAAAGGGAAAAAGAAGCAAGAAAAGGAAATTTATACCCTATAAGACCAAAGAAAATCTCCTTTCTTTAGTATCACTAATTACTAAAGCAAAATTGCCCTCTTCACTCTACAAACAAAACTCTAAAGCTAAAAATTATAATAGTTCATTCTTTTTTTTAACGTTTATTTATTTTTGGGACAGAGAGAGACAGAGCATGAACGGGGGAGGGGCAGAGAGAGAGGGAGACACAGAATCGGAAACAGGCTCCAGGCTCTGAGCCATCAGCGCAGAGCCTGACGCGGGGCTCGAACTCACGGACCGCGAGATCGTGACCTGGCTGAAGTCGGACGCTTAACCGACTGCGCCACCCAGGCGCCCCTATAATAGTTCATTCTTAAAAGTTCAACAAAATAATTTTAATATATAAAAAGAATAAGATTTAACTTTTCCAATTTAAAAAAACAGTAGTCTATAGTATAAATGACAAAAGCAAATTTAAGATACTACTAACAGGCATTTTTCAAAAAGTATTTATGTTAAAAAAATGAGAAACAAAGTCATATCCCAAACTTTAACTTGAGTCAAATACACTTACACACAGCCCACTTTACAAACTTGGGTGAAACGGAGCTGAACAAGTTAGATAAATTATGTTTCATTGTGATTAAATAGGAAAAAAATGGTAATTTTTCCCCTCCACATAATTGATAAGCAAAAATATACATATTATTAAGTGTGCATTTTTTTAAGTAAAGGAAATATAGAAGTCATAGCCTAGTTTGGCATATGCCATAACAGCTACACTTGTAATAAACAAAAGTCTAGAATTTAAATTTTTTTTTTTAATGTTTATTTATTTTTGAGACAGAGAGAGACAGAGCATGAACAGGGGAGGGTCAGAGAGAGAGGGAGACACAGAATCTGAAACAGGCTCCGGGCTCCGAGCTGTCAGCACAGAGCCCGATGCGGGGCTCGAACCCACGGACCACGAGATCATGACCTGGGCTGAAGTCGTACGCTCAACCGACTGAGCCACCCAGGCGCCCCATAGAATTTAAAAATTATGCCTTAGTAACTATGTGCACATCAAGTTTTGATCCAACAGAATTCTAGTTTGACACAGTTGCTTGACAATCCGCTATAGGAATATTTCTATTTTTTTTTAAGCAGTGATTGATGAAACTTTTTCCCTTAAAAACTCTTACACAGAATTTCCAAATGGAAAAAGCAGAATTGCCCTTGAAACCAGGACTAAGATCTAGAAGGTGAGGGATTCTACATGTCCTTCTTTAGGTCGCTACTGGAAAGTCTAGGCTTCTAGTGTCTATGTGCAACAGTGAATAATGTTTCCTAAAGAATACTGTATAGGGTTCTGAATTACAAAGAGATACTGGTTAAAATAATTATAGTAAATACTTTTTCAGTCCACTTACCTACATTCCACATAAAGGCTTGTGATCTTGCAGTGACATTTTATTCTAAGCATCTGAACACAAGGAGGACATTCTCCAGGGTGACATGGCAAAACACATGGATGGGGACAACCCAGAGGCCGTGATTTAGAGCACCCTTCTTCACACTGAAGGCATTCTGGGCCAGCCTGATGGGTAGTAAGGAAATAAATCATCTAAGTACAGAAGTTGAACACTTCTATATATTAAAACTACAAAATTCACATATCCCATTAAAAAAAAAGCACTTTTGCAGCTCTTGAGAATATAGTTAATAAAACGGTGCATGCTTTCACTCTTTAAAATTATTCAAAATGAAAAAATATATATTAAAAATGAAGAATCACCACTATTCACAAACTGGTATGTCTACAAACTTCATTAAATCAAATTGCGTCATCTGAAATTGTACTTGATTACATGAAGTATTCCTACTAAAAATTTAAATTACTTCCTAAAGAATAGTTTGTAGCAGAAAAAAAATAAAGAGTAAAACATTATCAATTCATTTCCACCCAACAAGCACGATCACCATCAAACTAAAGAAATCAACACCCTGTTAATACATAAATAACAATTCCCAAAGCATTCAGTGTTCTGAAGATACTGATCTCATCTAGCCAAAGAGAAACATGCATAGAGGGGAAAAAGAATGACCAGAAGTTTATGTTTTAATGCACTTCAGTGAACCAAGATTACATTACATTTACAAGTAAATGTACTTCAGAGCATCTGGGTGGCTCAGCTGGTTAAGCTTAAGGGTAGAATTCTTGGTTTCTCCTCAGGTAATGATCTTACAGTTCTGAGGTCAAGCTACCCATCAGGCTCTGTGCTGACGGTATGAAGCGTGCTTGGTGTTCTCTCTCCCTCTCTCTCTGCACCTCCCCAACTCACACATACACACACGTGTGATCTCCCTCTCTCTCAAAATAAATAAACTTGAAAAAAAATATGAAAAAAATAAATGTACTTGAATGTAACTCAAGAAGGCACCTCTCTCCTCTAGTAATTTTTTATATCTACAAAAGAAGGTTAAAAATTGTTATTACAAGATAGTATTTATTTTCATACGTCATACATGAAATAAAATAAGAGAGCTATAGACATGGGTAGTGTCTTAAAGTTTAAAAACGTTTTATCATTCCTAAGTAAAGCTATGATTACAAATGAGTTATTATGTCAATAAAAACCCAAGCTACTTTTAACATACATGATTAAAAAGTATCTCGTGGGAGGCGGGAGGGGCTAAGTGGGTAAGGGGCATTAAGGAATCTACCCCTTAAATCATTGTTGCACTATATGCTAACTAACTTGGATGTAAATTAAAAAAAAAGAAAAGAAAAAGTGTCTCAATTATGAAACATTCTTCTATAAATAATTTCTATTTTTTAATTTAAAAATTATATTAATTTATTCACACTTATTCAGCGTTATGTGCCAGGAATCATTCACACACTGGGAATATGCAAAATGGGAGAGATCCCTGACCTAAGAAACTTAAATTTAAATGGGGGAGATAAAGAACATAACAGAATGTCTTCATAAATATTCTGAAAAAAGATAAAGCAGGATAAGAGAGGGTAATAGGAGCAACATGAAGAAATTCCTGTTCATATTTGAACAGGAATTAAGTTAAATAAGGGAGAAAGCCACAAGAATATAGAGTTCCAGAGGGGAAAAAAAACTAAGTTCAAAAGCTCTGACAGAAGAACAAATGTGGAATATTCAAATAGCAAGAACAAAAGTAGAAGGGAACAAGTGAGTGACGAATGAAAAGGTAGGAAATGTCATCAGAAGTTACATCAGTATAAAGTCTTATTGGGCTATCATAAGGCCATCTGCATTTTATCCTGGGAGTAACTGAAAGCTACTGATGGGTTTTGAGCAGGGAGATGACACATGACTTATTTTGTTTTCTTACATTTTTAAAAGATGAATTTGGCTAATGCAGTAAGACAAACGTGGGAGTGGACAGCCTGGCTAGTTAAATACTGCAGAAATCTAGGGAAGAGGTGATGGTGGCTTGAATGAGAAGGTTAGTGTCAGAGGTTATAAGAAATAGATTCAGGGAACTACTTTGAAGATAATAAACCTAACAAGATTTGTTGTGAGACAAGGAAAGGAAAATAAGAAAGAAATCAAGCAATGTTCCTGTCTTTGATCTGCAGAATGGTGTAAAACTGATAAAACAACTTTCTGAAATGGGAAAGACTGGAAAAAGAGAAGCAGTGAATCTCAAAATATGCAAACATAACCAAAGATGACACACATAGTCTATCTCATTTGTTTCTTCCTGGCTATGTGGTACATCTGTAATAATCTTTCATTTAAATAAATAGAAGACCATACTGGGCTGGAAGTTAATATCAGGTAGTATCAGGGATACTACCTTCTTATAACTACTCTCTTGGTTATATTAACATGAACAAGTCACTTGAAAACCTTCAGTTTCCCTATCTGCAAAAGAAGAATTATACAGATGGTATGGGGCTCCTTTGTTCCAGTTATGAAAAAAAAAAAAAAAAATCACTGAATCTATAACTTGCTATCTTCCTGGATCACTTCCAATATCAAGTTCTATCTTCCAGAAGAATCTACCTTAATTCAGAAATACAGCAAGACTGGCTGTCAAATATCTTACACAGTTCTTATTTTAAAAAGGGGTGGGGGCGCCTGGGTGGCGCAGTCAGTTAAGCGTCCGACTTCAGCCAGGTCACGATCTCGCGGTCCGGGAGTTCGAGCCCCGCGTCAGGCTCTGGGCTGATGGCTCAGAGCCTGGAGCCTGTTTGCGATTCTGTGTCTCCCTCTCTCTCTGCCCCTCCCCCGTTCATGCTCTGTCTCCCTCTGTCCGAAAAATAAATAAATGTTGAAAAAAAAATTAAAAAAAAAAAAAAAGGGGAGACACTGGGCGCTTGGGTGGTTCAGTCGGTTACGCATCCGAATTTGGCTCAGGTCATGATCTCATGGTTCACAGGTTCATGCACCGCGTCAAGCTCTGTACTGACAGCTCAGAGCCTGGAGCCTGCTTCAGATTCCGTGTCTCCCTCTCTCTCTGCCCCTCTCCTGCTCATGCTCTGTCTCTGTCTCAAAAATAAACATTAAAAAAAAATTTTTTTTTTAAAGGGAGACAGGAATTTTAACCAAGGGAGCAATATTGGGATAATCTACAATAATTCCCCAATTAGTCATAACATCTTTTTTAAATGAGTTTTTCCTGATTCATCTGATGTCTAGAAATCCCAAAAGGATAGCAATCCCAATTATAAGCAAGGAGATGATGAGAAGGCAGAATAAACATGTGCGTTATTATTACAAATTGGAAAATGAATCTTGATGAGTAAAATTTTTCTTTCCCGTTTTATTATAATATATTTGACATTTCATAAATTTAAGGTGTTCCACATTTATATACTATGATTATCATCATAGCAAAAATTAGAACCTTTATCACATTACAGAATTATCCTTTGTTTTTAATGGCTGAAATAATTAAGTTCCAATCTCTTACAAAGTCTGATGATTATAACAAAATTCTTTTTTTTAAATCAATGAAACATGACACATCATACACACTTGCTTGTAGCAGTGATTTTCAAACACTTTTGTGCATGATCAATCACTTGGCAATTGTTAAATGCTGAGGTACGACCTGAGATTCTGTTTCCAACAAGATTACAGGTGATGCCAATGCTGCGTGGCAAGGGTCTACCATATACATAAGCGTATAGGAAATGTATGTGTCTATGTGTGATTACGTACCGATATATTTTTTTCTTTTTCATTTATTTTTGGTACAGATTTTCCCCAAAGATTATCCTCATTATTTCTTCCTCTTCTTTTTTTTTTTTTTTTTTTTTTTTTTTAAAACTAACCATCCAGATTTTTTTTTTTTTAATTTTTTTCAACGTTTATTTATTTTTGGGACAGAGAGAGACAGAGCATGAACGGGGGAGGGGCAGAGAGAGAGGGAGACACAGAATCGGAAACAGGCTCCAGGCTCTGAGCCATCAGCCCAGAGCCCGACGCGGGGCTCGAACTCACGGACCGTGAGATCGTGACCTGGCTGAAGTCGGACGCTCAACCGACTGCGCCACCCAGGCGCCCCGAGGTTTTATTTTTTATGTTAATACATCAAAATCACTATGGAAAGTATTCTTAGAGAGTATGTTCTCTTCAAGTAGAAGAAACGGAAATACTTATTATTTCGTCTTTCAGTCACTCTAAAAATTATTTGTGCCCAGGTTTGCTTGGGAAATACACTCACTTCAATTGCCATCAATCTCACACCTTTCCCCAATTAACCACAGTTCCACTCACTGCAGCCAGTGAATTAGACAATAGAGATATATCTGTTGCTAATTGTAGCAATCAGAGCCATAGCCTATAAGAACAGCTTTGACTGGACTGAGAGATCTACAGAGATAAGAAACAAAAGACTTTTGATTCCAGTCAATAAACGCTTTTTAAATACCCGATATTTAATATTTATTAATTTAATATTTTTAGTATGTTGTAAGCTCTGTGCTACAACTCAAGGTAGAAGCTGAATTAACAATTCCTGAGCCATTTGGGTCAAGACAGACATACAAGGAGATCATCTCCAGTGGGTCTCAATTGAGATGTTACAGTAAGGAATTTTAAAGAGTTCATGATATATTTCATGTTTAATATATAAATTAGAATGATTGCAAAGTTATCCCCTAAATAATGTAATTTTCATTCACTTGCACTGTAGTAGCCTTCCTTGAGTGGGAGACAAAGGTGGACTTGTAGCTAAATTGAGATGAATTGCATGTAAGTTATAACCCAAACTTTACCACAGCCATTGCCCATGGAGCAATGCTGGGATAATCCAAGATAATTCCCCAATTGGTGTCTTATCAGCTCTTAAAATGAGTTTTTCCAATTCATTTGATGTTCTGGAAATCTAGAGAAGATATAGCAGCTGTACTCTGACTAAAGTGATTTTGAAATATTTATGTGAGTATGATTTTATAATTCCACTCTCTTTTTCATTTTATCATGAGAACATTTTTATTAAGGATCAAAGCACGGATCAGTGAAGAAATTATAGGCAATATATCTACATATATGTCTGCACATGAGCAAGAATGATGCTATGGACATTTATATTATCAGGCTTTACAACTACTGAATCAAAGACAAAAAAAAAGTAACAATGCAAGTGAATTTTTCAATAGCATACAATTCATATTAATAATTTAAACATTTGAAAATTTAATGTTATTTAATAAAATGAATCTTAAAATCTTTGGCTTACTTCTCATGACACACAGTTGCTAATAATATTATGATTCCCTATAGAATGGAAGTCTTTGAAAAAACATTAAATATTTTAAAAATATATAATTTTTTATATAACAAAGTTTATTTTTTATTCACACATCATGTCAAATGTAGGCTGGCAGGGGACTCCGGCAAATCAATGATTCTGGGATACAGGATGATGAGGAGTTTGCTAGCTTTTAACTGTATCACAAGAGACATACAACCTCCTCCATCATGGAAACTGAGAAAGAATGGTTAATGATAAATTTAAGATTTCTCTAACTATTCCTGAAGTTGAATAACATTTCTGCCTATGTTTTATTGGCCAGAACCTTGCATATGGCCTAGGAAATTCAGAGCAGGAGACTGACTATCTGTATTCTGTTTCAACAGGAATCTGGTATATTTTATTGCTATTGTAAATGATTTTGCTGGGTTTTGTTAGTTTTATTTGTTGATGAATTTAAACATTTAAAAATAAAATTTAATAGGGGCGTATGAGTGGCTCAATCAGTTGAGTGTCCTACTCTTGATTTTAGCTTAGATCATGATCCCAGGGTCGTGGCATGAAGGCCTGCATCAGGCTTCATGCTGAGCATGGAGCCTGCTTAAGATTCTCTCTCTCTCCCTCTGTCCTTCTCCCTGGCTCATACTCCCCCACTCTAAATATATATACTTATATATATATTTATGTTTTATGTTATTTATATATTATATACAAAAAATTTAGTATCATTTAAAATTTTATTGGCTATATTTATTTTTCCTTGTAAAATGGCAATTTTTAGCGATCTCTCGATGGTTGACTTATATGATTTGTAAAATGCTTTTAGTGAATTTCACACACACATACCCTACATCTGTGATGCTACTTACTTTATTCCCAACAAAAGATTAGAAATTTATTAAAATTGTGGACATTGTCTATCATACATGTTAGGTTTAAAAAACAGCTAAGAAAAAATGTTCCAGAATTAAACTCAGAGATATAAACGGACAGAAGTGGAAGTGATATTGCTATCTACTATCTAAATAGATACGTAATTTCTGTACTTTTATCATAAAACGAAAGCCTATGTATTAACACAGGTACAGTATGTAAAGAGTACATTAAAAGGCATATCATGAGCTAGCACAAAGATACAGAGGAATGTACACCAAGCTGTTAAAGCTGCTTGTATTAAGAAAGGCAAGGAAGGAGAAGAGATGAGGGCAAGAAAAAGGAAAATAGTTATAACAAAATGGAAAAATATTTATGGCATAATTATCCAAAAGAATGTTTCAAGCATACTATAAGCACATATATATTCAACCTAAGGATATTACCTTGTTTTTGCCAATGAAGGCATCAATTTCAGTTACTTTGTGGCATTCTTTCATACATGTATGATTCTGACAATCTAAGGTTCGTCCACAGACTCTCTTACAAGAGTAGGGTCCTACAGTATGGCATGGTAGTGGACTCACCTTAAAAAAAAGGAAAAGAAAAGAAAAGAAAACATTAGCAACACACACACAAAACCTTCTGACCCATATGTCTGAAATGACTCTGTTATCATTTAAGAACAAGTTTCATAAAGGTCTAATACGTTTTCATTAATAATAGTTATTATCAAAATCAAAGTAACCTGTCAAAAAATCCAAAAAAACGAATGCCAATAAGCAAAACATTCTATTCCTAAAAAGGGAAATTCAATATAATGATGCTATGGTGACCACATAGACATAGGCTAATTCTCAAAACCACTGTATATTTTAAAAATCAGCAAATAAACTCTTGTACTTTTTAGAGCACTAAAAAAAAACACAAAAAACAATACTTTGACTTTGTCATTTCTAACAATCCCTATACAGTAGCATAGATTATAAGCTTTACTTAAAACTTGTACCTATAACTCACCTCATGCTTCCCAAGACATTCTCTGCAAGAAAAAAAATAAAATGAAAACATTATAAATTCTTCAAAAAGATTACCTAAAGCAAAGGTGCTAACGCCACTAGTTTTACTACATAAAAAAGCACATATGCAATAAGTGATTATAAAAAGATTGCAGGATACAAAATTAACATACAAAAGCCAACTGCTTCCCCCATATACCAGAAATAAACAATTCGAATTTGAAATTAAAAACACACCACCATTTATATTAGCACAAAAAAATGAAATAGATACAAATCTAACAAAATATATACGTGATCTATATGAGCAAAACTACAAAATGCTAATGAAAGAAATCAAAGACAATATAAAGATATTTCATGTTCATTGATAGAAGGACACAATATTGTTAAAATGTTGATTCTTTCCCAACTTGATCTAGATTCAATATAATTCCCATCAAAATCCCAGCAAGTTATTAATAGTGGACACCAACAAACTGATTTTAAGGTCTATATAGAAAAACAAAAAAACCCAGGATAGTCAACACAGTATTGAAGAACAACACAGTGCTAACACTACCCAACTTAAAGACATCCTATAAAGCTACCGTGATCAAGACAGTATGGTACTGGTAACAGTAAACAGACAAATAGATCAGTGGAACAGAATACTGAGCCCAGAAACAGACCTACACAAATATATACTCAATTGGTTTCTGATGAAGGAAAAATGCAACTGAATAGAGAAGGGATAGTCTTTTCAACAAATGGTTGGTACTGGAATAAAGACATCTACATGGGAAAAAAAAAAAAAAATCCAAACAGGCATTATACCTTTCACAACAGACAACTCAAAAAGGATCACAGACCTAAATGTGAAATGTGAAATTATCAACATAGGAGAAAATCTAGGTGACCTTGTGTGTGGGGATGACTTTTAAGGTACGACACCAAAGGCGTGATCTCCGAGAGAAAAATGGTTAAGCTATACTTTATTAAACTAAAACATCTGCCCTGTGAAAAACACTTAAAAGAAAAGCCACAGACTTTGGGAAAAAACGTATCTGGTAAAGGGTTTGTATCCAAACTGTAAGACAAATTCTTAAAACTTAATAATAATAAAGCAAACAATCCAATTAAGAAAAATGATCAAGATGTGAACAGAGAACAGACACCTCACCCTCTAAAGAAAGCATACAGGTGGCAAACAAACCTATGAAAAGATGCTGAACATCATGTCATTACAAAACTGCCAATTAAAATGAGATGCCACTGCATACCTGTTAGAATGACTAAAACCCAAAACACTGACAAGCAGATGCTGGCAAGAATACAGGGCACCAGGAACTCTTGTTGCCGATAAGAATGCAAAATTGGTACACTTTGTCAGAGAGTTCGGCAGTGTCTTACAAAGCTAAGCTAGACTTACCATATGATCCAGCAAAACCTACACGTGAATGTTTAAGCAGCTTTCTTCGTAACTGCCAAAATTTGGAAACAACCAAAATGTCCTTCAATAGGAAAATGGATAAACAAACTGTGGTACATTCATACAATGGAATATTATTCAGCAATAAAAAGAAATGAACTACCAAGACATAAAAAGACATAGAGAAAACTTAAATGCATAGAGAAGACTGTAAACCATCTAATTCCAACTATATAACATTCTGATAGGCAAAATGATAGAGACATTAAAAAGATCAGTGGTCACCAGGGACTTGAGGAAGAAGGTGAGGGATAAACAAGAATAGTACACGATGTTTTTAGGGCAGTGGCTATAGAATATGATATTGTAATTAGCGGATACACGAGATCAGGCATTTATCAAAACTCATAAAACCATCCAACACAAAATATAAATCCTAGTATAAACTATGAACTTTAGTTTATAATATTATCATTATTCAATATCAGTTCCTCAAATGTAAAAAAATATATATATATATGCCACACTAAATGTTAACAAAAGAAACTGTGTTGCAGGACCATATGGGAATTCTTTACTTTCTGTGTAATTTTTCTGTAAACCTGAAAATCATCTAAAAAAAGATAAAGTCTATTTTAAAAAAACTAAAAAATAACATTTCATTTCCCTTTCCAGGGACAGTTTCTAAACTGTCTTGTGATCCTACTCTGGCCAATGAAATGTGAAAGGAGTTTTGCTATGGGGCTTCTGGAAAAGGCTTCTCACTCTTTAAAAATAGAGGATGTTGGGGTGCCTGGGTGGCCCAGTCGGTTAAGCGGCCGACTTCGGCTCAGGTCATGATCTCGCGGTCCGTGAGTTCGAGACCCGCGTAGGGCTCTGTGCTGACAGCTCGGAGCCTGGAGCCTGTTTCAGATTCCGTGTCTCCCTCTCTCTCTCTCTGACCCTCCCCCATTCATGTTCTGTCTCTCTCTGTCTCAAAAATAAATAAACGTTAAAAAAAAAATTTTTTTTAATAGAGGATGATGGTAGAAGACATAAACAGTTTGTTTCTCTCTTTGGAAAGCTTCCTGTCTGGATGGGAAGTTTAACAGAAAGCCAAGTAGCCTGAGAGCAAAGATGCCACACTGAGGATAAAACAGAAAGACAGAATCTGGACCCCTGATGATGCAGAACTACATTAATCAGCTTAACCAACCACAGAGCTGCTCTACCTCCAGTCTAACTGCACAAGGCAAAACCGTTGTTATTATGTCACTTTTTATGTAGGTTCTTTGTAACTTGAAGCCAAAGGCACCATAATGATACAGCACGTATTTTATGTTCAGAATTCTTTTACCACACAGCCAAATTATTAAAAGTCAGGTTATGTTTAAAAATGGTAGGCAAGGGGCGCCTGGGTGGCGTAGTCGGTTAAGCGTCCGACTTCAGCCAGGTCACGGTCTCGCGGTCTGTGAGTTCGAGCCCTGCGTCAGGCTCTGGGCTGATGGCTCGGAACCTGGGGCCTGTTTCCGATTCTGTGTCTCCCTCTCTCTCTGCCCCTCCCCCATTCATGCTCTGTCTCTCTCTGTCCCAAAAATAAATAAAAAACGTTGAAAAAAAAAAAAAATTAAAAATGGTAGGCAAGGGACAAGAAGACATGAACATTCTACTCTAAGAAAAAATTATACTACCTCGGCGTTCATGTGACAAGTAATATTTTTAACATATACTTTATACTAATTTTATTACACCTGCCACGGAAAAATCATTATATCAGAATTACAAAGACCTTTACATGTTTGTCTCCTCTTTAAAACTGAGATAAGATTTATACTTTTAAAAAAGTACAATTAAGGGGCTCCTGGGTGGCTCAGTCGGTTAAGCCTCTGACTTGGGCTCAGGTCATGATTTCACAGCTCGTGGAATCGAGTCCCGCATCTGGCTCTGTGTTGACAGCTCAGAGCCTGGGGCCTGCTTCATATTCTGCGTCTCTGTCTCTCTCTCTGCCCTTCCCCCGCTCATGCTCTCTCTCAAAAATAAACATTAAAAAAAATTTTTTTAAAGCACAATTCAGTGGTTTTTAGTATATTCACGAGGTTGTGTAACCATCACCAGTATCAAGCATATTTTCACTACCAACAGAGAAACCCTGTAACTCTAAGAAATCACTCCACAGCCCCTGGCAACCACTAATCTACTTTCTGGTGCTATGCATATGCCTATTCTGGACATTTCACATAAATGGAATCAAACATTATGTGGCCTTTTATGTCTGGCCTCTTCCACTTAGCACACTGTTTTCAAGGTTCGTCCATGTTACAGCACGTAGCAGTTAATTCATGTATTTTTATAGCTGAATGATATTCCATTGCATAGTTATACCACATTTTATCCACTCATCAGTTGACAGACGTTTGAGTTGTTTCCACTTTTTGGCTATTAATAATAATGCTATTATTGTCACACTCATGTACAAGTTTTTTATGAACACATATTTTCAATTCTCTTAGGTATATACCTAAAATTGGTAACTCCAAGTTTAGTTTCCTGAGAAACTACCAAACTGCTTTGCAAAGTAGTGGCACCACTTTACATCCCCATCAGCAATGTAAGAGGATTCCAACTATTCCATAGTTTCACCAACACTTATGTCTTTATTTTAGTCATTCTAGTGGGTATAAATTGACATCTTAATGTGGTTTTGACTTGAATTTCCCTAATAATTACTTGAGCATCTTTTCACGTTTACTGGCCATATGTAGATCTTCTCTAGAGAAATGTCTGTTCAAAGATTTTGCCCATTTTTTAAAACAGACTGCCTTTTTGCTTCTCAGTTTAAGAATTCTTTACATATTCTGGGACACCTGGGTGGCTCAGTTGCTTAAGCATCTGACTCTTGGTTTCAGCTCAGGTCATGATCTCATGGTTCGTGAGTTCAAGCGCTGCTTGAAGGTTCTGCACAGAGCCTGCTTGGGATTCTTTCTCTCTGCCCCCTCCCCTGCTGGTGCTCTCTTTCTCAGAATAAGTAAATAAACTTGAAAAAAAAAAAAAAAAAGAAATCTTTATATATTCTGGATAATACTCTTATAGAATATATGATCTACGAACATCTTCCCCCACCCATTCTGTGGGTGACGTTTTCAATTTTTTTATTGTGTCCTTGAAGCACAATTTCTTAATAATGTCCTGACTTTATTTTTTCTTTTGTTGCTTATGCTTTAGGTGGCAGCAATATGTAACAAGCCACTGCCTAACCCAAGGACACAAGGAGTTACACCTGTTTTCTTCTAAGAGTTTAAAACCTCACTTTTAGACCTTTGACCCATTTTAAGATTTATATATGTTGTGCAGTAGAGTTCCAATTTCATTTTTTTTCTGTGTGAATATCTAGTTCTCTCAGCACCCACTATATTTTTTTGACACTCTTGTGAAAAATCAACTGACCATAAACATATGGGTTTCTTTCTGGACTCTCAATTCTATTCCATTGATCAATATGTCCGTCATTACAATACCACAGATTCTTGATTGTTGAAGTTTTGTAATTTATTTTTTTTTAATTTTTTTTAACGTTTATTCATTTTTGAGACAGAGAGAGACAGAGCATGAATGGGGGAAGGTCATAGAGAGGGAGACACAGAATCTGAAACAGGCTGCAGGCTCTGAGCTGTCAGCACATAGCCCGACGCGGGGCTCGAACTCACGGACCGCGAGATCATGACCTGAGCCGAAGTCGGACGCCCAACCAACTGAACCACCCAGGCGCCCCTAAAGTTTTGTAATTTAAAATAAGGAAGTATGAGTTCTCTAAATCTGTTCTTCACTTTCAAGACTGTTCTGGCTATTCTGTGTCCTTACATTTCCATATGAATTTTGGAAAAAAGCCAGCTATGATTTTGACAAGGAGTATGTTAAATTTGTAGATTACTTTGGGTAGTAGTGTCTTTAACAATATTGTCTTCCCACCCATAAAAGTGGGATATCTTGCCACTTACTAAATAATTATCTTAGTACCCTTGTCAAAAACTGGCCATTAAGTGTATGAATTTATTTCTAGACTCTCAATTCTATTCCCTTGATCTATATGTATGTATGCCAGTACCAGAGCCTTTGGTCTTCTTTAATTTCTTTCAACAATGTTTTGCAGTTTTCAGTGCATAAAACCTTAGATTTCTTTCATTAAATTTGTTGAATAACAAGTTGGTTTTCTAATTTTTTAGAGAGTGGGGGAGAGGGGCAGAGGGAGAGAGGCAGATAATCTTAAACAGGCTCCACACTCAGCATGAAGTCTGATGTGAGGCTCAATCTCACGACCCTGGGATCATGACCTGAACTGAAATCAAGAGTCGGACATTCAACCGACTGAAACGCCCAAGTTGCTTTTTTAGGGCTACTGGAGGTAGAAATGTTTTCTTAATTTCATTTCAGATGGTTCATTGCTAGTGTATAGAATCGACTTTTGTATATCAATGTTGCTTATATGGCGTTACTAAACTCATTCAATATCTCTAATAACTTATGTAAAGATTCCTTAGGATTTTTCATATACAAGATCACATCATCTAACAATACAAATAGTATGAATACATCTTTTATTTCTTTTTCTAGTCTAATAGGTCTGGCTAGCACCTCTAATACAATGTAAACATAAATAGGAGCAAGAGCAGACATCCTAGTCTTGTTCCTGTTCTTAACAGGAAAGCTTTCAGTCTTTCACTACTAAGTATGATTAAGGGCTTTTCATACATGCCCTTTATCAGGTTGAGGGAGGTTGTTTATTCCAAGTTTGTTGAGTTTTTTTTATCAAGAAAGTGTGTAGAATTTTGTCAAATGTTTTTCTGAATCTATCAATTGTCCTTTATTCTAGTGATAAAATATTACTTTGATATTTTGATTTTCATATGTTGAATCTACCTCATATTTCTGGGATACATCCACTTGGTCATATGCATAATCCTTTTTACATGTTGCTAGATTCAGTTTGTTAGTATTTTGTTGAGAATTTTTGTTATCTATATACAAAAGGGATATTGGTCTATAGTTTTCTTATGAGGTCCTTCTCTGCTTTTAGTATCAGGGAAATACCAGCTTCATTGAATGAATCAGGAAATGTCTCCCCACAGTGAAATATTGGTGTTAATTCTTTAAATGTTTGGTAGAATTTACCAGTAAAGTCACCCATCCTCAGCTTCTCCTTATGGTAAGCTTTTGGTTACTACTTTAATCTCTTTACTAGGTATAGTTTTATTCAGATTTTCTACTTCTGAGTCAGCTTCAGTTGTTTTTGTGTTTCTAAGAATCTGTCTATCCCTCCATGTAAACTGTAACCAAAGGAGGGTATAAGTAGCTATACTAATATCAGAAAAAATAGACTTTAGAAAAAAATTGTTATTAGAGACAATGAATAGATTTTGATAAGGACCTCCAAAAATTTTCTCTTCCACACTGACATTTTTGTAGATATCTTGAATTTCCTTATTTTACAAACAGAGAAGGGATATGACTTACTCATAGTAGTAGTTAGCGGGAAGCACAACACTGGGCTCAAAAGTTCTTACTCTAAAACACAATTTTAATATACATATCCAAAAAACTTCCAGCAGCACATTCAAGTGCAAAGGAAAGACTTTTAAATCAATTTCTTAAACCTCTAGTAAACATGACTTAGTAATTCCAGGCAGTTTTTCTATTGTCATAAAATATTTAATCCAACCTAAGATTTCAAGCAAATTAATTGAATGAATGAAGATAGGCATATCTGTTAAATAATCCTCCTGTAAGATAAACTAAGGAATTCAAAGATAACTGACTACAATTATACAATTTTAGTGTTTATGAATCTTTCACTAATATCCAGACTAAAATCACTCTGTAGATATAGCTCCCAGCAACACTTTGCCTCCGAACCTGACTCCATAACCAATATACAAAAATATACATGCTACTTAAACAGAAAAGAAAGATGTGGAGGGACAAAATGAGAGTGAGAGCTTTTAAAAATAAACCAGAAGGCCCTCTGGAAAAGGTTGATATATAAGACGTACCAATATTCAATTTGGAACCCTAATGGTGATTTTCTGTTGCTTCCCAGAACTCTATGCTTCCTCTTCTTCTACATTCCATAACCTCTACTGAAAGTATGAACCATTCCAAGATTCTATTATTACCTTAGGTTTGGCTCCTTACAACTCAGTCCAGGTCATTTTCTGGTCCCTCCAGAAAACTACCTACTTTCATTTTCAATGTTTCCTTCAATTACGCCTTACCTAAAACCTAGCTTTCCTCCATCCTAAAGGAACTCAAAGACTAGCACGGGAATCAGTCAGAAAAACTAACAGAGGATGATCTCTTGGATGAATTATTGTAATGATAAGAAGAGTTGCTATGGAAACTAATAAGGATATTAAACTCCAGCTGGGGGAAAAGCTGAAAAAATATATACATAGGAGAGGTTTTCAAGCAGTATGTAAAATATATTTAGAAAGGAATAAGGCTGAAAAAGAGAGACTGGTTTATGGACTAGGCCTGAAAGAATGATAAACTCAACAAAGAAAAAGGGGAGTAGGTGGCCTAAGACACACTTCAAATTAAAGTGTCAAAAGATTTTATTTAAAAAAATTTTTTCTTTATGTTTGTTTATTTATTTTTTTCAACGTTTATTTATTTTGGGGACAGAGAGAGACAGAGCATGAACGGGGGAGGGGCAGAGAGAGAGGGAGACACAGAATCGGAAACAGGCTCCAGGCTCTGAGCCATCAGCCCAGAGCCCGACACGGGGCTCGAACTCACGGAGCGCGAGATCGTGACCTGGCTGAAGTCGGACGCTTAACCGACTGCGCCACCCAGGCGCCCCTATGTTTGTTTATTTTTGAGAGACTATGAGCAGAAGAAGAGCAGAGAGAGAGGGAGACACAGAATCCGAAGCAGGCTCCAAGCTCTGAGCTGTCAGTGCAGAGCCCGACACAGGGTTCGAACTCCCGGACCATGAGATCATAACCTGAGCCGAAGTCGGACGCTTGACCAATTGAGCCACCCAGGTGCCCCAGAAAGATTTTTTTTTTTTAAGTTAAAATTCTAAAATATTGGAGTGCCTGGGTGGCTCAGTCAGTTAAGTGTCTGACTCATGTCTTGATCTCATGTCACGATCTCATGGTCAGTGGGTTCGAGCCCTGCGTCAGATGCTATGCTAACAGCTCAGAGCCTGAAGCCTGCTTTGGATTCTGTGTCTCCCTCTCTCTCTGCCTCTCCCCTCCATGTTCTCGCTCTCTCTCTCAAAAATAAATAAATAAACATTTTAAAACTGTAAAATACTTACGTAGGAATAGGAACTTGACATGGAGGACAAGGTAATGCAGTCTGAATAAATGCTGGTTCAGAAGGCTGTTCCCAAGGGCCTGTAGGCTGGTGCTACAAGTAAAATACATTAACAATTTTAAGGCAGAGGAATTAAATCATAGGGCCATTGTAAGACTCGAATAGTTCCACATATCCTCTGCTCAAGCAGATTGAAATTTTTTCAAGTCATCAACAAATTGTGCTTAGTGAAATATTTTATTCCATCAGATTGTCATTATCAGATTGTTCCCCTCTACACACATTTGACAATAAAAATTGAGGCAGACCCCAGTTTTTAAATGGCAGAACAAAGGCAACGTAGCCTCCTTCACTTCTCGTTAGCCAAAAGAAGAATGACAAACAGAACTGTAAAATCCAACTTCCACCAGTAGAATGTAATCTCCATTATTTTGTTCACTGTTGTCTCCCCAGCACCTCGAAGAACGCTTATCACACAGTACGGACTTAACAAATATTCACTGAGTAAGTGAATGAATCTTTGAGGAAACCAAAAGATATCTTTAACCCTGAACCACAATATATGAAGGAAGACTGCCAAACTCTTGTGTATCACGATTACAACATGACTATCACACAGTATTAGCGAACATTTGTTTACTGGTTTCTCGCTTTTTCTATACTGTGAGCTTAAGACAAAAGATCAAGTCTTATTTACCTTGTACCCCAACTCCTATCACAGTGCTTAACACCCAGTAGGTACTTAATCATTGCTTGTTGAATGACTAAGTAAAATTAAGAAAATATGACCCACAGCAATGCACTACCTCTTAATAATATATTCCCTTACCCTGCCAGTTTGCTTTATTAATGCTTGATCATGACATGGAGCAGGACACAAGTGACCACATTTCTCCAAAACTTTTTGGCAAGGTTGATGACATGGAGGACAAGAGCCAAAGTGACAGCGATGTTTTTCTTGACTTGTATGATGGCAAGTTGGTGGTCGACTAAATCATAAAGTACAATTTTTTAAATTACTTTTGATCATTAAACAATTACATCTAAAGTGCAATTATCTATTTATCTTCTGACTCCATACAGAACAAGAATATTGTGAATATCAGTATTTTAGAACATTAAAGAAAAATTAAAGATACTAACAATATTAAAAGTCAGTATGAATTTAAATTCGTAAGAAAGCAGATGTAAGTTTGTGCAGAACTTCATACTAACCTGCACTGCTCTTTGCACTTGGGTGGTCTTGTGGTACGTTCCCGGCCACAGGGCACTGTCACCTTTGTACTACCACAATTGCACTTCACATCTACAGTTTCCGGGCAGGGATAACAACTACCTGAAAAAAAAGTCTGAAACTTAAAAAGGACTATGACTACTCAAATGCCCCTCAACAGTAGAATCAATGAGGTTAGCATTCACACAACTGGATGTTCTACAATGAGAATAAAGGAACTACATGAATGAACCTCACACACATAACATTGAGCAAAAGAGTCAGACACAAAGAGTATGTAGTATATGATTCCATTTACACAAAACAAACACAAAAAACTAATCTATACTGTTTGCAATCAGGATGATGGTTACAAAGGATACAAGGAGGGTTTTGGAAATATTGGTAATGTTCTGTTTAATCATCTTGAGTTCTGGTTACCTGGTTATGATCAGTTTGTAAAGGTTCATCAAGCTATACACTTAAGATTTGTATACTTTTTATATCTACACTGGTAATTCCATTAAAAAGTTTTAGGATTTTCTTTAAAAATTCCTAAAAGCTCTACTCTAAATAACAAATTTAACACTCTACTAATTTAATTGCCGCTGCACAAGCAAAATGGATCTAAGTCTTGGAAAATCTAAAGTTGCCAATAGTCTTTCTGGCTTATTTTCACACATACTGCTTATTCAAGTGTATTATTTTTAGATAAATTCCCCAGCAAGAGATAAATTTAGATAAACTTACTTAAATTTATTCAAGTATATTATTTTTAGATAAATTCCCCAATAAGAATAACATCTCTCTTCAGGTTATTAACAAGAATAGTCAACTTTCTATTACTCGTGCTTTGTGAAGGACTCATTCTCAACCGTTATTTTAGGTTATACCCTTATAACCCTTCTAATTCCAAATATTTCTTTTCTAAACATTTCAAAAAGAACGGTTATTTGGGTTTCAGCTTTCTACCTTCTTTTGTTGTATGTTGGTAAGGATACATAAAAACAAAATCAAAGAAACTCTTTTAAACAGGCTATAACATTCCCCCCACGGTTCCAACATCATCTTCTTCCCACTCGAGTGTTCTCAGTAACTAAGGCTCCTCACTAGAACTGAAATAGCAAGAAGGGAATAAGAGTCTTCAACTAAGGAGTGTGGATCATAAGAGACTGCCGCCTTTGTGTCAAGACCAAGCAAAATACTGAATAGCAGTTAACCTGATAACAGATAAATGATGAAAAGCATCCTGGATAAAGCCTCTTAAAACAGCTCTTAGAAGGAACAGAAGTTAAGAATTCTGGTTGAAATAATGAACACAGAATAAGGAAATGAGAGTAAAAAGTACAATAGGGAAAAATATAAATATATATGGATTTTACAAATTACCAAATTTATATTTCAGTGTTTTGATAAGTGTAATCCATGAAGTATTTCCCTGATGGTAACACAAGCCAAGTTATCCTGATCCACATGATCAATTTTAATCTTTCCAAAAGAATGACTAGATGTCAAATGTTCTAAATGTTAATAATGACCTTTAACTCTTCTCATGCAGCATATTATATCATTTTCTCCCTAACAATGATAATTTTCAATCACTTTCAGCAATTCAAAGAGAAAACTTATCAAACATAACACCTTTTTTGCCACGCTAACCTACAGCATCACTTTTCCTTTTATGAAAATTAAATCTTGAGAAAAATAAGCAGTAATTTCTGTGAATGGTCTTCCTACTGATCAACAGAATTTGTTACAGATACCTGTACAACATGACAAATTAAAATAGCTTCAGAGAGATTTTTAAAATGAAAAAGCAGCATACAGAAGGTAACTACAGTGACCAGTGGGTCAACGGCCAAAATGGGTACTCATGCAGAATGTTCAGGAACCATAAACACAGATAACCTTGAACTTAAAGAAGTATAAGTCGAATTTTCCTATGTTCACAGTGCAAACATCCAGTTAGCATCCTCTTCCTAAGAGTCACAGTATAACCCTGATTATGAAGGTATCTAGAATGATGAAAAAGGGTATGGAATAATGGTTCTATATGTCTTCTATAACTGTAGATGGTGAAAGTTACACAATAGTATCTTCCACATACTTTCCATTAAAGTAATTTTTGTTAGGGTCTAATAAGCTTCTTTTTTAAATAAAAATAAATGCTCTGCCAAAAAAAAAAAAAAAAAAAAAAAAAAAAAAAAAAGAAGAAGAAGAAGAACCTGGATCTGATCAAACCTCTACATCCCACTAATAATGTAATAATTTATAGGAAATACAGAAGAAAATGTCAAACAATACCACAGAGATGCAATCTGTAATATGTAGACTTTGTGACTAAATAAAGCAGCCTAGTTTCTTAAATAAGTGACAAGGGGTTAAAAAAAAAAAAAAAAGGAGATGGAGGAGGGATTTAGAGACATCAACCAATTGCAATATGTCAATCTTATCAGATTGTTGATTCTTACAAACTAAAGTAAAAAATGAAGACATTTATGAGACAAGATATCTAAACAGCTGATATTTGCTGATGTTACATATATTAACTATTTTCAGGTTAAGAATCCACATTTTAGAAATGAATACTGAAGGATTTATGGGATTTGCGTCAAAATAAACAAGAGTGGGATATGTTTTCAACACTCCTCTACTAAATATGATGCTTGCTCTACATTTTTTTTTTTTTACAGATACTCTGTATCAGGCTAAGGATGTTCCCTTCTATTTCCAGTTAAGTTTCCATCAAATATGGATATTGAATTTCATCAACTGTTTTTTAGACATTTACTTAGTTTCATTTTTCCTTTAAACTACTAATGTGGTAAATCACATTATTAGATTTACTAAAGTTTAACCAATCGTATACATTATTGGAATAAACCCAACTTGGTTATGAAAGATTAAGGTTTTAGACAGCTAATACTTAATACTGGATAGCTGGATTTGACTGGCTCAGTTGGTTAAGCATCCAACTTCATTCAGCTCAAGTCATGGTCTTGCAGTCCATGAGTTTGAGCCCCATGTCAAGCTCTAACCTAACAGCTCAGAACATGGAACCCGCTTTGTATTCTGTGTCTCCCTCTCTCTCTGCCCCTCCCCTGCTCATGCTCTGTCTCTCTCTCAAAATAATAAACATTAAAAAGATTTTTCTTGAAGTTAATGAAATCTAATGAATCAATGATGTCATATGACTATATAAAAATAAAATTCTTTCAGTAATGGTGAAAACTGAAAAACTAGTCCTAAACTTCACAATTTGAAGACACTAACACTATGAGTAGTCCCATGAGAGAACACTCATAGGAAAATGTCTATGAGATTAATAGAATCTGCCACTTTTCCTAACAGGGAGCCAATGTGATATAATGTAAAGATCATTAAAGTTTGAGTTCCCATCTGACCTGCCTGCAACTAGTTCTATGACCTTGGGCCAATAGTTTTTTTGCCTATTTCCTTACTGTACAAAATAACAGCAGCGCAACATATTTTTTGAGGTTTTTGAGGACTAAGAGATTAAGGAAGGTATCAAGCATCCACCTAATCCCACAGTATAGTTTGTCCCAGGTCATAACATTACTAAGTGGCAAAGTCCAGACTTGAAACCAGGACCTCTTACCCTAAAGTCCATCCCTTCCTACTACCCTATACAATCAGTGTTTCTTTTTTATATCATCCTACTCCAAATGGGTAAAGTTAACGCAGTTTTTCTTTTTTAAGTTTATTTATTTGAGAGAGACAAAGACAGCATGAGTGGGGGAGGGGCAGAGAAAGGGAGAGAGAATCCCAAGCAAGCTCTGCCCTGCCAGCACAGAGCCCGACTTGGGGCTCGAACTCACAAAACCGTGAGATCCTGACCAGAACTGAAACCAAGAGTCAGATGCTTAACTGACTGAGCCACCCAGGCAGTTTTCATTGTCTGATAACTTCAGCAACCCTAAGACCTGTTCAGGAGGTCTGCAAGGTCCCACGTGCTTAGAGTAGTTTTCCAGGTGCTATGGGTCAAGCGGTATAACAGACTGAATGCAGAAGCACACATGTGAATGTAGCCTATCTTCTATCAAGCTGAACAGTAAAGACATTTACAGAAATGTAAAATACCATTCTTCTCACTACATTTGTTTCAGAAAACAGTCATTTTTCACCAAAAAAATGTTACTGTATTAAGATGTGATGGGTTTATTACTGCTATTTTTAAATAAAATAATAAATATTATTACATTGTATTTTAACTTCAAATACAATAAATATCAATAGATGAAACTAACATTAACAAAAGGTCTTTGGGTACAAAAAGAATGTAAAAGGATCTTGGGACCAAAAAGGCTGAGAACACTGGCTTAGGATACATCCAATCCCTTACTAGATGTCTATTCCATATAAATGTCTAATATTCAAAATAATGCTGAAAAACCTAAGAACATAATAACTAATTTAAAAACTGTGGGGGAGATGCTGGGAAGAAGTAAGGAAACAACATGGTATTATGGAAAGAACTTTTATATGTAGGAAGCCTGTGTTCAAATCTTAGCCATACTTCTTTACTAGGTATTTCCCTGAGTAAGTCATTGAAGTATCTTTGGCTTCAATCTCCTTGTCCATAAAATAGGGATACTGGTGCTGCCCTACATTCTCAAGGTTGTTAAGAGTAAGATAATGAATATAAAACTCTATCAACTATAAAGCACTGTATAAATACAAACAAAAAATTACAGCTATTATTAAATTTTACCTCTATGGCAGACAGATGGACATTTATGGTTCCTACATCCTAAAGTCCGTCCACAGTTTTGATCACAAGGTGGACAGTTTCCAGGACAACACTGAAGGGAAAGCAATATACAGAGAACAGGTCACTTGAAAACCACACATAATATGAATGTCATTATTCTCATAACTTATGAAAAGCAAAAGAACTTTTCACCATAAGAATAAAAGTATTCAAGAGTATCCACATTCTTCTAAGTAGACAGACTGTATTAAGAACTTATAAATGTAAATAGACAATGACCTAATTTAATGAAATTAAGCTAAGGTTTCTTGCCCTTCAGTTAATTATTCTGTGACTAACAACAGTCCCATTAGATAATTTCATTTCTACTTATCTATGCAGAGATTGCCAGCATTAACCAAAGGAACGGATCTGGTCAACTCCTATAGTCAATTTAGGCAATTAGTCTATTTTTTAAATTTAATGAAAATAAGTCAATGTATAGTTCAATGTATAGATTAGTTTGGCAGTTATTTTCTTAAAGTTTATTTATTTATCTTTAGAGAGAGAGAGAGAGAGAGAGAGAGAGAGAGAGAGTAGGGGAAGGGCAGAGAGGGAGAGAGAATCCCAAGCAGGCTGCTCACCGGCAGCACAGAGCCTGATGTGGGGCTCAAACTGACGAACCATAAGACCATGACCTGAGTTGGACGCTTAACCAACTGAGCCACCCAGACACCCCAGCAGTTATTTTCAAATCATGGAATCAAAGACTAAAGGAGAGAAAAAGAGAAAGGCTAATTGTTTCTAACTTTGTTTTGTCACCTCTCTGTTTTCCAATCCATTCATGCAAACTTCTCCCAATTTTCATTCATGAACACAAAGCAACTAACTACTTAAAGCCCATCTTGCCATGCTAACTCCTTCCTTGGCCTCTCATATATCCAAACTTTGGAGAAAAAAATGCTACAACTGTCTTAAAGAAACTTAGGGTTGTAACTGACTTAAGAGCAAGTTTCAGTATATACAAATAACTCAGAACACGCAGTATTGAAAAACAATTAAAAGTCAAAATAGTTCATTCAATTAGACAAATATTTACCAAGTAAAACTATGTGCCTATCATTCTGCCAGTTAACAGTGGGAGAAAAGAAAGTTATGTGGTCCGTGACTTAATAAGACTTTTGACATTTGTGTTTTTGACCATGGAGGAATAACAATCAGATTTACTCTCTTAAACAACTAGAGTATCATACAAAATATATGAAACAACAGACTATGGACATTAGACAATTAGACAGCATAAGACAGCAACCCTAAAAGAAGAGAAACAAACAATGTGAGTCTTATGATAGCACTTGCTCAGACCTGGAGGCTACAGGACAAGGAAGAAGATCACAAGCAGAGTCTGGTGGTCTCACCAAGCTGAGAAGACAAAATTCATAGTTCAGAGAGGTCAGTGTGGCTTGAATTTGTGGAGAAGTGGTAGCAGTACAGAGAAAGCTCTGTCGAACTTACAAAAGGACCTCTCAAGTCTTTGGCTAAGTCCTGGTCTTTACATGTGTGAAGCAGAAACTATTCAAAATCTGAGAAAGAACCAGTGGAAGAAGGTACAACTGTTTCCAGAGATTATTCAAGACTAGAAATAGGTTGTGCTCCCTATGGCCAGAATGGAAGAACTTCCTAACACACAGGCATCACCTAGAGTACTTACAAGAATTATTGCCTCAGTAGCAACACCAAATTAGTCCTAACTACAAGGGTGGCCTCAAAACACCTAATAAAATTAAATCTCAAAAGAACCAAATGATTTCTAAATAACTTAACTTCAAAACAGAAAAAAGCTTAAAAATATTTAAAGACATACAAAACAAACCCCCAGCATCCAAAAATGTAAAGTTCACAGTGTCTGAAAACTAATCAAAAATTACCAATCAGAAAAATATAATGCAAAAGAAGAAAAGTCAATCAATAGAAATAGGCCCAAACATGATAGATGACAGAATTAGAAGGCAAAGACATTAAAATGGGCATTGTAAGTATAGCCCATCCATATATTCAAGAAGATACAGGAAAGCATGAGCATGGTAAGGAAAGACATGGGAGATATAAAAAAGACCCAACTCCAACTCCCAGAGATGAAAAAATACTATATCTGAGATGAAAAAACACAGGCAGATATAAACATCAAATTAGATAATGTAGAAGAAAATAAATGAACTTGAAGACAAAGTTACATAAACTAAAATAAAACACATAAATTACAAGGACTAAATAATAAATGGAGCATCAGTGAGCTGTAGGACTTCAAGCTGCATAACATACATGTCTTTGGAGTCTCAGAAGGCAGTGCACGTGGGAAAAATATTTGAAGAAACAAAGACTGAAAATTTCACAACTTGATAAAAACTATAAACAGATCCAAAGAAGCTCAACAAAAACTAAGCTAAAGAAACACAAAGAAAGCCATATGAAGGAACGCTGCAAATAAACTGCTGAAAACCAACAGTATAAAGAAAAATATCTAAAAATACCCAAAGGAAAGAAGAGGCATTACATGCAGAGGAAGAAAGATAACAATCACAGCACACTCTTTGTCGGGGGGAAAAAAAAGGCAAGCTAAATGATAATGGAGCAACATCTTTAAAGTATGGGAGAAAAGTTATCAAACTAGAATTTTACCATAGAACTATGTTTCACAAAGGCTAAAGGTAGTTTATAAAAGTTGAAAGACGTCATGACCAACATTACAAAAAACGTTAGAAGAAGTCCGCTGACAGAAAAAAAATGAAAACAGAAACCCCAATCTATGTAAAAGGATGAAAAGCACCAGAAGTAGAGTTTGATGACAAATATAAAAGACTACTTTTCTTATTTTTTCAAACTCTTTAAAAGATATCTATTTAAAGCAAAGGTAAAATTAATGTATTTGGAGTTTATAAAATACATGTATATAAAATGTGTGAGAATCCAATAAAAGAGTTAAAATGTAATCATGGAAAAACAATACTCACTTAAACAGAAAACAAAAAGATGGTAAAAGAAAAAACAACAGATGGACAAATAGAAAATAAATAGCAAATGACAGATTTAAATACTACCATACTAAAGATCACATTAAAAGTGTATTTTGGGCAGGGGGAGGGGCATCTGGGTGGCTCAGTCGGATGAGCATCCGACTTCACCTCAGGTCATAATCTTGCAGTTCATGAGTTCGAGACCCACATTGGGCTTGCTGCTGTCAGCAAAAATAAATAAACTTAAAAAAACTTTTTTTGAAGTTTGTTTTTGAGAGTGAGGAAGAGACAGAGTGTGAGCATGAGCGACAGAGGGACAGAAAGAGAGGGAGAGAATCCCAAGCAGACTCTGCGCTGTCAGCTCGGGGGTGGGCTCAATCTCATGAACCGTGAGATCATGACGTGAGCTGAAATCAAGAGTCAGGCACTTAACCAACTGACCTACCCACGTGCCCCAAAGATCATATTAAATGTCAATGATTTACAGCCAAATTAAATGACAAAGACTGTCAATGTTTAAAGTCGAAGGTATTATAAAATAAAATCTATATGTGATTTATAAGAAATCCACTTTATTTTGAGAGAGAGAGAGTACATGCGCATGTGAGCAGGGGAGGGGGGAGAGAAAGAGGGGGAGTGAGAGAATCTTAAGCAGGCTCCACACACAGTGCAGAGCCCTATTCCCCTATTTGGGGCTTGATCTCATGACTCTGAGATCCTGACCTGAGGTGAAATCAAGAGTTGGTTGCTTAAATGACTGAGCCACCCAGGCACCCCAGGAAATCTACTTTAAAGATAAGATATGAATAAGTTAAAAGTAAAAGAATGGGAAAAGATACTCATGTTAACGTTAAACAAAACAAAGTTGGTATCACTATATCTAAATGGCTTTAGGCACAAGAAAACCTTACCAGAAGGGTAAGGGATAATTCACAATGATAAACAGGACTCAAAAAAACCCACAAATCTACAGACTCAATAAAATACTCCGGTCAACCTTACATAGAACCAAGTGTTTATAAATAAGATTTGAACACTAAAAGTTAAGCCTCTACCACCAAATGAACTATCACGCTAACACTGCTATGATGATTTAAAATCCAGGGAACAGGGGCGCCTGGGTGGCTCAGTCGGTTAAGCGTCCGACTTTGGCTCAGGTCATGATCTCGCGGTTCGTGAGTTCAAGCCCCGCGTCGGGCTCTGTGCTGACAGCTCAGAGCCTGGAGCCTGTTTCGGATTCTGTGTCTCCCTCTCTCTCACAGACCCTCCCCCATTCATGCTCTGTCTCTGTCTCAAAAATAAATAAACGTTAAAAAAAAAAAAAAAAGACTTAAAATCCAGGGAACAGAAACAGCCCAGGAACCAAGTTGAAAGGCTTATGTCCAGGACCACAAAGACCCATCATTTAAACAACTTGATAAGATTTCCCACTGATATAAACAATTAAGATTAATCTAAGACAGAGCTGCCTGAGTGGCTCAGTTGGCTGAGCATCCAACTCCTGATTTTGGCTCAGGTCATAATCCCAGGGTTGTGGGATCAAGCCCTGCAGTCAGGCTCCACAGTGAGCGTGGGGTGGGCTTAAGATTCTTTCTCTCTCCCCCTCTGCCTCTCTCCCCCCTGCTCTCTCTCTCTCTCTCTCTCTCTCTCTCTCAAATAAAAAAAATTAATCTAGAACATTTATTAGTATTTCATATGGAAAGCAAAGAATATGCTTGAAAATCTGAAGAACAAATCATGGTAACACTTATCACAGGCACAAAAAGGACAAATTCAAGACGGTTTTTCAAACAGTTTCCCAAGCTTCCTACACATACCTTTCTCCTACACTGATGCTTCTGACAGTCCCGCATCTTAACACACTTAGTTTCACACAGATAAGGTTTATGACATGGCATTCGTTTTGTATGCTTTCCACAGCGACACTGCTTTTCCACTTCCTGGAAATATCGAATAAACGCTATTAAAACCAACTTTTGTTGACTTTTTTTCCACATTGCAATCTCTATAATCAGTAAAAAATGAAGAAAAGTTTTATAAAAATTTCATACAAAGGCTTTACCAAAAATAAAGCTAAATTTCCTTAAAATATTGTTTGTATCTTACTTTGCTCCAACAAAGACTTCATAGAATTTCATTATAGTAAAAATTGGATATTAAATAGTAAAACAATACCACACATTAAAATCGCATCTAGTTACACCATACCATCTGCACATCTTGTCTCAGTATAATAAAAGAAATTAGATTATCTAGTAATATGGTCAAAACCAAAATGACATATATAACTTTAACATCTCACTTCTAGGCATTTGTTTCTTTCATTATCATTAGATCAACTTTATCAGTGCCTTGAGTGTCTTCTGAAAACAACCAACCCCGAGCTGGATTATGAAAATAACAACATACAAACTTTTACCAAACACAATCAAACAAAAGGTAATTTTTAGATTTGATTGTTGGCATACTCTCTTGCTTCTCCATCATAAGTATTAGGTCACTAAACTCATACAGATCATGACATAGATATTTATATAAATAATGGAAAACAATTACAGAATAATCTCACTTGACATATTATGCTAGGTGGTTCTTAAAATTAATTACTACAGGAGATGACTAACTTGTCTACATGTTTCACAAGGACCTCGGTGACAACGCTGTGAACATCTATGGATTCCACATTCAAGTACTTTGTCACAACTGTCTCCACAAGTTGGCACATCTTCTGTACAAGGCAAAGAAAACTCTAAGAGCAGACAAAAAGTCAAAGTTAATAAGATACATTACTATAAAGCACTAATAACATGCCATATTCTTTTGACTTCCTAAAGAATGGCAACCCTTTTAGACTATGAATTTGTGTACGTACATAATTTTTAGAAACCGTTAAAAATTTTTTATTACTTTTTTGAGAGGAAAGAGAGACAGAGAGAGTGAGCAGAGGAGGGGAAGAGAGAGAGGGAGACACAGACTCTGAAGCAGGCCCCAGGCTCCGAGCTGTCAGCACAGAGCCCGACAATGGGGCTCGAACCCACAGACCATGAGATCATGACCTGAGCCAAAGCTGGAGGCTTAACCAACTGAGCCACACAGGTGCCCAGCAACAGTTACATTTAATAAAAATAATCCCTAGTAAAAAAGTTTGTTTTTTAAAAAGAATGTGACACATGACAAGTTACCATCCTCAAAAAGCATGTGTTTATATGAGCTAACTATTTCAGAAATACTTATCTCAATAAAAGAGTAAGACCATGTACACCTCTATGAAGAATTAGACAATCTATAGAATTATAAAAGGAAAATTTGCTCTTAACCTCACAGGATTAGAAAAAAAAGGAAAGATGTAGACTTGAAAACATCATGAAACTAATCTTTAACATAAACATAGTAAGACAAATATTGCCAATAATCTTATAAACACGTGTGCTGGTACAGCTGGTACAGAGTCAAAGACTCAAACTACAACCTTCTGTGCCTTATCTCAAAGCAGCCAAAAGTTAAATTCACCTGTATCCTAATACATAATAATGACAAGTCTCTGATCATGAGGTTTCCTTTATTGCCAGGCACTACATCAAATACTTTATGTGCATTTTATCATTTCATTCTCTTTATTTTATAGGAAGGTACTATTACTGTCCCCATTTAACTTTAGAAAACTATCATTTAATGAACGTGGGTTTTGAACCAGGACATGCCTGACTCCAAAGTCTGAGTTCTTAACCCACCAAATTATATTGTCCTTTCACCAAACGTAAAGAAATCTAGTATCATATTTGTATTATTACCAAAACTACATTATGAACTCCCAGAGAAGTCTAATTTAATTAGGAAAGTACTCTAATGCACATGATAATCATATTCCGTTAAAGGTTTAAAAAAAAGCCTTACTTGACTTCTGACATGGACAGAACCTTTTCCCAGATCGAGGACATTGTCCACAAGCACCAACATGGCAAACTTGCTCACATGTATGATGACCACATGGCAGTGTTTTTCCACATACCTAAAATAAAATGCAACAAGCAATAGTGAAGGACTTAAAAGTTACAAAGTCTTTGTGCACATAACTCATTTTTTTTTTTTTTAACGTTTATTCATTTTTTTGGGACAGAGAGAGACAGAGCATGAACGGGGGAGGGGCAGAGAGAGAGGGAGACACAGAATCGGAAACAGGCTCCAGGCTCTGAGCCATCAGCCCAGAGCCCGACGCGGGGCTCGAACTCACGGACCGCGAGATCGTGACCTGGCTGAAGTCGGACGCTTAACCGACTGCGCCACCCAGGCGCCCCCACATAACTCATTTTTTGATCATTAGCAACTTATGTTCTTCCTATTATGCTTTGTATCTTACACGTGTCATATACATGTAAACATATACACATACATACATAAACACACACACATACATACACACACGTTTCCTATGTACCAAACACACACACATACATACTCACACGTTTCCTATGTACCAAACACACACACATACATACACACACGTTTCCTATGTACCAAACACACACACATACATACACACACGTTTCCTATGTACCAAAGGGTATATTCTAAAAATAAAAGGAAAAAAGTACATATAGCTTCACATGGCCATCTACCAAAGAATTCCAAATGGTACGAAAACCATGTCAATTCTTGGACAATCTATAAAATCAATCCTACTTCCTCAACTGGATGAAGTTAAGAAGAGAGTGGTGTCAGTTCAAGAGAAGGGAAAGACAAGGAAGGTGGGAGAGACAGCGAGAAGCAGAGCACGTATGTACTAAATCCAAAATTCAACAAATAGCTATTAATTTGAAAAAGAAAATTTCTCCCAGTAATTAAAATTGTATTAAATTGGAAAACAGTTTCCTGAAACATGAAAGTAATTCCTTTGAGTCACCGTTCTTCTCCTTTTATCCAACTAAACCTAATTAGCACCTCTAACTGCTTATGCTCTCTGCAGTCTTTACTTCCCAGCCCTCCAAATGCACATGCACTTACTTGATCACAGTGCCACAGTGGACTGGCGCAGCTTCTTTCAGCGGCTTGTTTCCCACAGACACACTTTTGTCTACTGACTCGTGGACAGGGAGGACAATTTCCTAAAGTCACAATGATAAATTAGCATAGAAACGTTATAAAAACAATAAACACTGCTTTGATTTAAAAAAATTTTTTAATGTTTATTTATTTTTGAAAGAGAGACAGAGAGCACAAGCAGGGGAGGGGCAGAGAGAGAGGGAGACACAGAATCTGAAGCAGACTCCAGGCTCTGAGCTGTCAGCACGGCGCCTGATGCAGGGCTCGACTCACAGACCGCGAGCTCATGACCTGAGCCAAAGTCGGACACGTTAATCAACTGAGCCACCCAGATGCCCCAACGCTGCTTTGATTTTTACCTAAAAAGTCAAAACACCTTAGAGGTATGAACTTTTACCTGCATGACAAGGACTTTCACATTTATGTTGTCCACAAAGCAACTTGCGCCCACACGGAAGCTGACAGGACCATTCTTTGGCACTGCACCTACGAGGGATCGGTTTTGCCTTCTTACAGTAACAAGTAGTTGTGACCATCTTTGGACAAGGAGGGCAGGGACCTAGAATCCAATGAAAGGAAAAACAAAATCGTAAGTCAAAATTTAAAACTTTCAACTCCTACACCTACCAGTAATTTGTAAAGCTGTCTTTAGTGATACCTTAAAAACCACTCCCTTCTGATACCTTCTTACGTACACGTAAGCTCGGAATTAAACCTTCACAATTTTTTTTTTTTTTTGCCTCAACATAGGAAATAACCACCCACGAATAATCAGAAATGTAATATATAGCTCACCTGGATGACAGAGGAGCAAACACTTATGGCCACAAGGAGGTTTAAATTCTCTCTCACATACGTGGCCACATGAATGAGGCACAAGCCATGGATCCAAAGGTGGATCTTCTACTTTTCCACAGTAGCAGTAGTACCTACTAGGTGTGTCAGATCGCTTGTATTCAAATCTACATTTTGGACTACAAAAAAATAATAATAATAAAATTATGAAATGAATTTCATTTTTTAAAAGTGACAAGAGGGAAAGGAATATAAATACACTGAGTACAATATACTCAATTTTATGTTAATGTACCACCCACTCCATCTTTATGTTAGTATGAAATAAGATTTTACAAAAGCCGTTTTCAACAATCTAGAACAGCTCTGTCCAATATGATTTCTTGAGATGATGGAACTGTTCTACTACCTGCCATGTCCAGGACAGTAGACATTAGCCACATACGACCAATGAGCACTTAAAATGTGGCTGATACATACAATTAAGGAAGAAACAGAAATTTTCATAATTTTTCAAAATTTAAATAACCACATGTGACTAGTTGGTGGTATATGAAACATAGTTAGAATGAAGCTACAAAAAGAAAGGCACATTAGCTTTCTACTAAGCAGATGAACTTTATTCCTGAGGTATTCACTCTAATTTTTATAAAGCTCAATGTTTTAAAAGTTTGGTTGGGTGATGTGCAAATAAGTAAAATATACTGGCAACTGTGGACAGAAGAGAGAAACCAGATTATAGGCAGGCAATGCAGCAGCAAGAAACCTGCCTAAAATCCACAATTAAAGGGGAAAATCCTTTAAAGAAAGAATGTTTCTACATCTAATACAAAGTAGATATATTCCAAATGTGCTTCAAAGAAAGTTCAAATATTGTCTCATATCCTCTGTTAAAGCAGATTCTTACCTAGTAAGATTTTTAAAAAGCACTGTTAACCTTAAGCTCTATCAAATTCACTTGTAGATCATAGATCACTTCATTCAAAAAAGATGCTCTAACCCTTACTATCCTGCAGACAAATGAGTACAGTTAGTACACTATACTGGAAAAAGTCACGTCATCACTTTCTCTTGTATCATATATATTCTCGTTGTCCTGAGACAACGTTGTTCTGTTTCCAAAATAATATTTTTTCACAAAAATATTCAGAATGACAGATATTTGTTCTTGTAATCAAAAGTCAAAGATAAAATACCATGTCTCATCTAAACATTCATTTAGACGCTCCTCTAGAATTTTGCTGGAAGAGTTATAATTTTCCTTTACTAAAGGACAAATGGCTACATTCCTCTAAGCTAGTGTGGAGGGGGATGTGTACTTTAAATAAGGCTAGATATGGATGACTAAAACGCAACTCACAAAACCCTAATACTGCCTGCCCAACAGTGAGGCTGAATTGCTCCAAGAGACTGGGAGAGATAAGGACATTATGTGCAAATGCATGTGTTATTTAAAATAATGGCATGCAATAATGAAATGTAATTAGGCCATATCTTATTTATAAACAAGCAATATCTTAGTAGAAACATATATTTTAAATGTTTGAATTCCACAAAAACAACCAATTTAAAACCATTAATATTTTTATCAAGTTCTAGCTCCATCTTGATAAGGATTAAACAAAATCCAGACTAGTCATTGATTTTCCTTCTTAAGAAAGGTGAAGTACAGAATGCAAGATTACTACTACACGGTTGATTCAATTTTTTGTTCCTTTTAGATTTAAGTGAAGAGTAGCAGTTCATTCATCTCTTAACTGGTTACTTCCTAGCACTGTGGCAAAATGACCTCTTAAAAAAGAAGTGAGAAGAGCAAGGGTGATAAAAAGTATACACAAAATTTAGATCTCTAAAACTAAGCCAGAGTATCTAGTTCAATTCTGTACCTATTGAACACTGAAATTCTCCCACAAATAAATAAGATGGAGTAGCAAAACAAATATAGACCGAAATTTTAAAATGTTTCAGAGAAGCTAATATTCATTGAAGAGAAAACAAATAATATCTCTAAAAGTAGTACTACAAGCAAGAACTCAGTAGAATAGAGAAAGCACTGAATTTAGAAGTCAGAAATCCTAGGTTTCAAATGCTGGCTTCACCATTTAAGAGTAAGAGAAGGCTGAACATATCAATTTGCTTTATCAACTTCAATATCCCCATTATTAACATGGGAATATAAACCCTCACAGAATGCTGAGAATTATTTTTAAAGTAACTAGCGTGTCTAAATGTTTTTTAAAAACTACACTACCACAATTTTACAAATGTATCAGTATTTGTAGTAAAAAGGGGAGGTCCAATATGGATCCAGATTTTCTGAGGTCTGAATCTTACACAATTTGGGCGCCTCTGTTAAGAAAAAGAACATAAAATTACAAATATAAGTTACAAAAGTGAATATTTATATGAACACAGAATCCCTAAAGTTTATGCTTCATTACCCTGACAGTAAATCTACCCTCTGAGCTGCCAGTATGGATTAATTTCTTATTATCTTTATTTAGCAGAGATATAAATTCTCCATACCCCAATTCTTTCTGGAAATGTAACAGAAGTTCACAAATACTCATCAACAATAAGCATACTAATAAATAAATGTGGAGAAACTGGTAAGGCTGGATAACATACACCTGCAGTTTGAGAGATTTCAGAGATAAACCCGGGAAGGCTATGATCAAAATACATTAGATGATAGTCTTCTACAAGGTGATACTAATTAATGTATACTAACAGTAACTCCAGAAAAGAAGTACCAGAATTATGAAGGATTCTAGTCCTATAGAATTTTAAAGAAATGAAAGTTCTTTAAAAAGGATAATTAAGGAGTCGTCTTGTAGAAGAAAAAGTCTGAACACTTTATTAGTTTTTGAAAGGAACAAGTAGTTACACAAATTAAAAAAAAAAAAAAAAAAA